AATCTACCTCAGACATGGTCATGGATACGGATATGGATACAGATATTCTAAAAATGCCTGCGGATATCCGTCTGTATCCGCCGTAAATATCCGGATACGGATACCAAAATCAGTATCCGTGTCCGAGCCTGATCTACCTTATATTGCCCTATTTATTTAAAAGTAATAAAAATTAAAATTAAAAAAAAAGAATTCATCAATGTAACTATGAAGAAAAAAATCCTTTTCTTTGGACAATATAAGATAAGCTCTATAATTTGTTCGGCACAGAAAGAGGAAGGGGTAGGATAAGTGTACAAGTATCAAATATTTTTTCTAAATTTTTAATAAATAATTAAATAGATATTCCAAATATTTCTTCACAAGGGAAAATTAAAATGAAAAATTCGGCAGAATTATATTCAAAAATATTATTAAAATATTTACAAACAAATAAAGGAGATTTGGAAGGGGTTAAAAGATATTCTGATTTAATGTTTTTATTTAATTCTATTTTGGCTACTACAAAGGCGGAAAGGGATATGCATATATTTAAGGTTTTATAAAATAATTAAAATTAAATTATTTTAATGCGAGCGGCGACCGTAGCAAAGCGGTGGCCGTCGTTCCGCTCGACATGCCCGGCTTCCTCCGCAGCGGCAAAAACTTTTCGCGAAAACCTTATGTTAGGGGTAAAAACAAACGGTCATAACCTTGTCAGATCAAGTCGGATTTCGTTGATTTTGGTGTCATTCGACTCAACTCGGCGAGCTCTTTCGAATGACATATAAATCATCTATTTTTAGATCACTTTAATAAAGTGCAGTTTGCCGAAAATAATTTAAAAAAATATTTATCATTTATTCAAAATAATCGAAAAATATAATTTTTTATTTAATGTAACCATTTACTAAATATTAATAAACTAAATTTATATTTAATTAATAATTTACAGGAATTAATAGAAAAACAATTTAAAAATGAAGAAATGGAAGAAGAAGGACAAAATTTAGCTCCCTTTGTTTGTAGTTGTTTAGAAATAAAAGATTAAACGGATCAAGGAACGACCAACTCATGTAATTTTTTGAAAATTCAGAATTTTTCGGATTTTTTAAAATTGTTTTGTATACTAATTTTTTTAATTCAAAAATTCCGATTTTTAAAATATTCCTTGACTTGTCTTCCTTGAGTTAGCCCGACATGATTTTTAACAATTAAATATTATTTATTTTTCTTTTCTTTTCTTTTTCTAATTTTTGTTTAATTATTATTAATTTATTTTCTTCTTTAGAAATACAAAAATTATTTGATTGACATTTAAATAATTTACTAAACAAATATTTTTTTGTTTTTTGTTTTTTCCACAAACAATTTTTATTATTTAAGTTTTGGCGCGAATATAAAAATTTCCAAAAGCAGTTCCAAATATAGGAATTCTCTAAGTATATGTTCAAATATGGATAATTTGTTATAAAAACAGTGAACACAGGAGAGGTTGACCCGAACATTGGTTAAGTTGTTCCAACGTCGGGGAAGTTGTTCCTTCAACAGGGGAAGTTGGTCAGTTAACGAGGGAAGTTGTTCCGATAACTTTACCTAATTAACCTGTCTACTACATACTATTCCATCTCTTTTAATTAATTTAATTAATTCTTCTTTCTTAATTAAATCAATCGAAAATCTGGCATAATTGATTGGCTATTAAATTTAAATGTTAGAATTCTTCACTTAGTTTTATATTCATTAAATTCTCTATTATAGTTTTATTTAATTTAGTTTTTAAATATTTATTTTAATTAAAAATAAATTTAGTTAAATTCACCCAAATTTAAACTTTATAAAAATATTGTAGATGAGTTCTTATACTAAAATCCTATAAATCAAAAAGAAGGAGATAGCAGAAAAGGTATAATGTTGAGTTGCGAGTTAAATTTCTTTTAATAAATTTAAAATCATGAAAAATTTATATTTGTAAAGTAATATGTACGTCATATCTAGTTCTCGTATTTAAATAAAACTAACCATGGACAGTACATATTAGACTTTATTATTCTTTATTAATGAAACTATTTTTGTCATTTGCACTAATTTAAAATTACAAAATTTTAATTAGTTCATTGTTAGTACATGAAACTGAACTAAGGCTTTTTTCATGTTTTTTCTTCGTTCTTATTTTGTCTAAAAATTTTTGTTTAATAATTTTTAATTTTTCAACGAAAATAAGAATTTACTGTAATTTTAGTAAACTCTTTTTTAGAGAAATATTTAAATATATTTAAATGTTACAATCATCATCATTAAATTTAAATATTTTAAATCAACAAAATAAAAAAGATAGTAAATGTGCTGTTTGTGGGAAGGATGCTTATTTTTATCATTATAATGTTTTTAGTTGTAATGGTTAGTCAAGAAAGATTTATTTAAAAATTAAATTAAATTTAATTTCAATTTTAAGGTTGTAAACAATTTTTTCGACGTTCTATTATTGAAAATAGAAAATATAATTGTCCAAGAAAATCAATTTGTGATATTAAAGATGGTTAAAAATTTATTATTAAAATATTTATATAATTAGTTCTTGACCGGAAAACTTTGATAATAATAATATGTAATAGTCTCGAAAGGCTAAATCATAGTTGGATTATCCTCAAAACTTGAAAAAAAAATATAATTTTTGTTTAATTTTAAAAAATTAAAAGGAATTAAATGTCGGGCTTGTCGTTTATCTAAATGTTTAAGTGCTGGTATGAATAAATTATTAGTACAGCAATTGGCTCTAAAAAACAAATTAAAAAACGAAAATGGCGCTTGTTTATTTCCTCGAAATAATAAACAAAAGGATTCGAAAAATAATGATAAGGTAATAATTTTAAAGTTAGATTAAATTTTTGATTAAATTAACAAGCAAAGACTTTTTACGCACCCTGTATATGTGTAAATATATCTGATATTTATATTAGAGATCGGACGGAGTGTCGTACGAGAATCGTACAATATGCCTCTTTTGTTCGAGCTCCCGTGATCTCTAATTTATATTAACAAGATTAAAATTTAAAAAACAAATAACTCTTGAGAAGGAAATTACATATTTCTGTTAATTAAAAATTTTTACAAAATTTTTTAATTTATTTTTTCTTAGAAATTGTCTCTTTCAATAATTCCAACAATAAATAAAAATTCTGAAATAACAAAAATATTATCAGAATTAATTAATGTTGAAAACAAAAAATTTTATATTAGAAATTCCCGTTATGGAATATCTGTTGAATTTATGTTTAAAAGAAAATTGGATGATTTTTTGGATAAATCTAATATTAATTTATTAAATTTGTATCAAAAATTTGAGGTAATTTAAATTTTGTCAGTTACCTATCTTAAAATAAACTGTTTATGTGTAAAATTAGGGGTATTTGAAAAATAATGATAAGGTAATATATACCTAAAAAATTTTGCCTCTAAACTTAAAAATTTCAAACATAATTTATAGATTTTTCTGTCTTCTAATAAAGAAAATTACGAATTAATTATGCTAATAATTGCCCTAATATACAGGGTGCGGCAAAAGTTCCCGTACTTTTGTTAAGCAAAAAATTTATTTCAAATATTTTCTTAAATTTTATAAAATCTATCAAAAAGTGTTCATATTTATTGTTTAATAACCTATTTTAAAATTATATTGTCCCGGCAAAGATCTAGCACTTATGCTGGATTCTATAAATAATTCATAAATGTTAAACAGAGTTATTGACTGACCTTTTCTAAAATTAATTATTATTATAGCCTAACCCTTCTCTAGTAGATTCAATTGAACTCGAGGATTTAATGGAAGGAAGAAATTTAAATAAACATGTGCCCAGTTATTTTTTTATGTTTGTTATTTTTATATTTACCCCTAAATATATTACAAAAATTAAAGGGATTTATATTTAGCAATTGAATTATTACGTTCTATGCCTTTTTATGAAGAATTAAGTACTTCTGATAAGGTAATTAATTATTTTTAAATATTTTTTGTTGGAATTAAAAAATAAAATCTTGGATTTTATTTTACTAATATTAATTAACGAGATAAACGGGCAGCAATAGGTATAATACTATTCCATAATATCTGTTCTCAAGAGTAGTGCAATGAATTTTAAAAATTTCGCTTGATATGTTAAAAAAGGAATTTTCGGTAAGTTCTTCACCACTTTCTATCCGACATTTGCAAGCATCTCTATTGCTGATATAAATTTAATGAATAGTTTATCCGTTTTATTAAAATTTAACTTTTAATATCGCTAATTAAAATTTTTAAAGAAATATTTACTTTTAAATGTTTCAATGATGATTCGAACATTCGATTCAAATTATTATTCAAGTTTACTACAAAATACACAAACATTAACATTACCAAATAATTCAACACCTATTTTAATGTTAAATAATAAAATTAATAAAATTAAAATGAGAGATGAAAATAATTCTTTAATTTTTTTAAATACGTTTGTTTTTTTTTGTTTAAAAAATATAAGAATAACTACAGTTTAAATGGGGTCCGGAACTGAAAAAAGTTTGATGGCTGAGAACTGTTTCCAATAAATTTAAATGGAAATAGGAGATATACTAAATATCTTTTTTATTAATTAGGCAATCTCATTTCAATGTAAATGTACATTCGAGTACGATTTTCAGCTCCAAAGTATCGGTTAATGAATCCATCAAGTACTTCGATATTAAATAATTGAAATGAATAAATATTTATTTCAACTTAACTTTTCGAAAACATTGTGTTAATAAAAAAAGAATGTAGGCATTTAGGGATAACTTTAAATAGAAAACTTTAATAATTTTTAAAAATTAATTTTTATTTTAAGATTTGAACATCTTAAAAGGATTGCTTTCTATAGTTTACTGCAAACATTAAAACATTTAAATATTAATCAAAATGAATTTGTACTTTTACGTTCAATTTTTATTTGTAATTGGGGTAATTACTAAATATTTTTTTCGAAATTTTAATAAATAAATATTTAAATAGATATTCCAAATATATCTTCACAAGGGAAAATTAAAATGAAAAATTCGGCAGAATTATATTCAAAAATATTATTAAAATATTTACAGACAAACAAAGGAGATTTGGAAGGGGTTAAAAGATATTCTGATTTAATGTTTTTATTTAATGCTATTTTGGCTACTACAAAGGCGGAAAGGGAATTGAATATATTTATGGTATAAAAATAAAATAAATAATAATTTAAATAAAATTAACGTATTTTAAATACCCTTTGGTAATGAGGAAATTAAATTTAAAATCGGGGATATTTAAAATTGAGAGTATTTCAAAACGAGGTCCGACTGTTCCGGAATTCTTTAAAATACATACACGGTCAAATTTTTGGCGGATTTTCCACTTTAACGAGACGCAATATTAAATGCTTCTCAGGCTTCTCATAAAGCTTCCAATGCCTAAGCAATTTTAGTCCTTACTCCTAAACTGTTTGGGATCGAAACATTATAGATCGGTAAAAACGAACCTCTATTTGTTACCGCAACAAAATGCTTATGATACCACAATTTGTGGTCCTACAAAACTTTTGTCTGAAAAATTTGGCGATTCATGCAGATCTGTTCCGCATAGGTCCGCATAAAATAAATCATTTGACAATAGAAATTGAAAACTAAAACTAGGATTCATGTCTGTGTTTATTTTGAGTACTTATAAATAAACTCTAGTGTTTACGAAATTAAAAATTTACTTCTTTATAAGTACGTAATTATAAATAAACTTTTTGTTTACAAAATTAAATTTAACCTTAAAATTCTCAAAAGACTTCATCGATTATAAACTTTATAAATTGTAAAAAATATTTAAAATTAAAGCTTGGCTAAAGCCCTGTCTAAAGCATATATTTACTTCTGTTTTTCATTTATCCAAAGAAAATAACTAAAATTAAATTTAAAAATATTTATCATTTATTTATTCCAAATAATCGAAAAATATAATTTTTTATTTAAAGTAAACATTTAAATATTAATAAAAAATAAATTTTATATTTAATTAATAATTTACAGGAATTAATAGAAAAACAATTTAAAAATGAAGAAATGGAAGAAGAAGGACAAAATTTAGCTCCTTTTGTTTGTAGCTGTTTAGAAATAAAAGATTAAACGGGTCAAGGAACGCCCAACTATTTAATGTAATTTTTTGAAAATTCAGAATTTTTCGGATTTTTTTTAAATTGTTTTTTAAAGTATTCTAATTTTTTAATTCTTATTTTTTAAAAATACAATTTCAGATATTTCAAAAAAATTCCTATTTTTAAAAATATTCCATGATTTGTCTTCCTTGATTTGTCTTTTCCTTGAGTTAGCCCGACACGATTTTTAACAATTAAATTATTTTTATTTATTTAATTTTCTTTTCTTTTTTTTCCAATTTTTGTTTAATTATTATTAATTTATTTTCTTCTTTAGAAATACAATAATTATTTGATTGACATTTAAATAATTTACTAAACAAACATTTTTTTGTTTTTTGTTTTTTCCACAAACAATTTTTATTATTTAAACATAATTCCTCTGTTTTTAAATATAAACATTTATTTTTATTTATTTCTTTTAATTCTTTTATTTTTAAACAATAATTGGTTGAAATTAAATTAAAAATTAAAATTAATATTATTTTAATTAAAATATTTTTTAGACAAGACATTCTTTAATTTAATTAATTATTTTTAATTTAAAAAATCCTTTAAAAGTAAATTTATAAATTAAAATATTTTTTTTCTTAATGTCTACATATTTAAAAAATTTTCTTAATATTTCTTAATGTCTGTCTATATTAAAAAAGTGCATTTATTGGAAAACATGTGAATCCATTTATTTTTAAATTTATTTAAATATTTCTCAACATAAATTTTTAAAAATTTCAGAAATATATTTAAAAGTTGATAATAAAAATGCAAATTGAGATTTACTTTCGTATATCCCACCGATTGAATATTCTCCTTTTTAAAAGCACATATACCAATTTTTATCTTATTTAATAAACCAAAAAATTCGGCCAGATTTTAATTTTGTATTAACGGTACTTCTCAATTAAAATTACACAAACAAAAAACTTTACACTTAATTTAATTTTAAAAAAATTTTAATTCAAACGTTGTATTTAAGTGATTTAAAATTCAATAACATTTATCGATAAAATTTTTATTAAAAATTTCTAAACAACTAAAACCATTTTTGAGGTAGAAAAAGAAAGTAATTCACAATAGGTAGTTTGAGTTTTCATAATTATGTATAATTGTTGGTACTAGTACTTGTGTAGTTTCCATCCCATAAGCCACGCCCCTTTTATTCTCTACTAATTGTTTCCTAAATTATTTTATACAGAATTTTAGGAAATAATTTAAATAAAATCCCTTAAAATTTTAAATTAAAATTTCAAAAATTAGATAAATTTATATATTTTTTAATTTTTAAAATCTAAAATTTATTTATTTCAAGATTAAAAAATATTTAAAAAACAGGTTATTTAAATAAATATTCTTTTCTATTCATTTTTCTATAAAATTTGTTCTTCTCGTATTTGATTATAACAATTATTTAAATTAAAAATATTTTTTGGTGTAGAATCATTTATTTTCCGTCTCTGTTGTATTTTTGTTTTTATAAAAATAAATAAAGAAATTAATGAAAGTATTGAAAATATTATAAAAATTAATAAAACATAAATTGGGGAAGTTGTTTGTTGGTAATACATTTGCTCTCCTTAATTTAGAAAAAACATTTAGTAAAGTCTAAATAAAAATTATTATGTACCTACATAATAGTTTATAAGAAAATTATAACCACAGTTTATTTACTTTTATTTTAGATTTTAAATTTTAAATATTCCAAAAATTACAAAAAAAAATTTCTGTAAACATTTCTATATGAATTATGAAAGAAACGAGATTTATAATTAAATAAATACTTGTTTCAAATAAATCACTAAAAATAAAATACGTCTAAAAATATTTTTATATAAATTAAAATTTAAAAAAACTTTGTGTTTTAATTTTTCTAGAAAAAAAAATATTTTAATTTCTCAATTTTATTTAAATTAAAAGAGAATAAGGGAGTTTTTATTTAAAAATTAATTCAATTTAATTTAATTTTAGAAATTTATAAAAATTAATTTAATTTACTTTAAAAAATAAATAATTAAATGAATTATTTTAAAATAAAAATATTTTTTGAAAGTTTGTGAAGTTTGAAAAATGAAAAAAGGGAAGTAAATAAATAAAAATATTAAATAATTTTAAAGAATTAATTCTTCGATTTTTTACCTTTTTTCCACTTAAATTCTTATTGCCCTTTTTACTTTTATTTTTTTCTCTTTTTTTAAATAGTTGCTTTTGACAAGAAATGAAATACTTTTTTTTATTTTAAAATGTCTAAGTTTTTGTCATTTTAACTTTTTTTATGTTTGTGTACTTTTTTTGAAATAATTATTTAAAAAAAAAGTTGGAAATTTAAATGGGGAAAAATAAATAAATAAATTTTTAAAATTATTTTTGTTAAAAATAAAAAATTAAATTTAAAATACATAGATTAGAGAATTAGAAAAAGGAAACAAATTTGCAGCATTTGATGATTTAAGAAATTATATTTATCCTAAAAATTAAAAATATTTGTAGATATATTTATTAAATAAATATTTAAATTGCGGAAATTTTTGTGTTACGAGAAAATTAAGAAAAATTACAAATTATGGAAAAATTTGGGTTAAGAATTACGAAAAAAACTTTTCAATTTGAGACTAAACTTTGATAGATACTCAAAATAGACTTTTGCGGACATATAGATAGCGAGCTGGACTTTTACCGCCATTACTTACCCATCTTTGTCCAACCAAATTATTTAAACTCTCCACTAGAGGATATTAGCTAAACACAAAAACAATTAAACACCAAATTCCTTTACAAATATAACTTTTATTTATTTTTAAAAATTTTTTTTCATAATTTATTTCATAAAAATATTATGGAATAAAAGTGTTTAAGCCTTTCTACTCCCAACTACTAAAAGTCCGTTCATACAGCTAGAGCAGTACATAAGTTGTTTTTCATGAAAGTTTATTTGATCGAATCCTCATTCAAACACTTCAATCTTCATTCAATCTGAGACTTTGATAACATCCGCTTATCTCGATACCATTAAGCTAAATTAATCCAAAAGTAACCACAAAAACTCCAAAAAATGAACATAGCTATACTGAAGTTTTAATAAAAATTTAATTTTTCTTTAAAATAATTCCTTTTGAATATTGAATGTCTCAATTAAATGTTAACAAAATTTCTTGAATATTTTATTAAATCAGAGATCCCTTATATAAAAAAAAATAATTAATTTAAACTTCTCCACTAATTTACAACTGTTTAAAAACTTTAAAAAATACTTAAATAAATCAATATATTCCCTTAATATTATTTAGCAGCCGCTTTTGTGGCTAATCTAAAGAAACTTATGTCTAGAGGATTTAAGCTTAAATAAAAATTTATATTAGAATGTTTTTGATTTTGTCTTAAATTACAAACTACATAATCAATTAAATAAATATATAAATTTACATAATCCCTCGGGATCAAAGAGTGATATTTGGGCATTTTAACTTGAGGTATATTTAATCAAAGAAAATTCTCAGTTTATTTAAGGGTTTTTCCTTAAATTTAAATAAATAAAAACAAACATCGTTTCCTTTTTTGATTATTTAATCACATATTAATTTTAAAAAATTTGAATAGAATTTCTAATTTTCTAAACAAAACTTTCAATAATTTTAAACACAAATTTTTAGAAAAACTTTCCCCGTCATTTTTAAAATGTTATTATTTCAATCACCAACATCTTCATTATTTTTATTATTTTTTCTTTTATTTTTTTCTTTATTTTCTGTTAATTCTAAAAAAATTAAAAATCATTACAAAACTACGGCAGCAGAAGATCCAATACCGGCACAGGAAATTAATACAAAACAATTAAATAAACAAATTAAATCTTCCAATATTTTACAAAAAGTAGGGGAAAATAAAAAAATAAAAATATTTATTTATTTAAAGACTAATTTTTCTAATAACTTTAAATTTTAATTTTATATTTAAAACTTTAGGTGAAAATAAAAAATTATTTAAAATCCCCCACCCCTCCCTCCCCCTACCCACAGAATTTTTTTTTTAATTTTCAAAACTCAAAAAAATATTTTTCTAAAGCAGCCTAATCGACAACCCCCATCACCATCTTCCCATTCCCCTTCCCAAACAGAACAACAGCATGAATTTTCTATAGAGGATGTGGATGAAGAACAAATTGATGAAATTTTAAGGGATACTTCCAAAAATCTTGTTATATTTTTTTGTAATTAATTTTGATTTTTAAATTTAATTTTAAAAAAATATTTAAAAAAAGATGATGGAAGATTAAAATGCCCAGAATGTAGTGTTGCTCTCTCAGAGATTGAAGAAATTGATGATGATATTGAAGTAATTAATTAATTAAATTTTTATAAAAATTATTTTTATTTATTTAAAGGCTACTGGATATATTGAAGTAAGGATTTTTGAATTTTAAATTAAATTCGAAAAAAGGTTGTGAAAACTGATGACAGAAGGGTGGCTCGTGAATGTGGAGTAAATACATTCCCGGCATTGGTATATTACAGACGTAGCAGTCCAATTCTTTATGATGGAGATTTTAAAGATTCTGAGAAAGTTTTACGTTGGTTGCGGGCACACGACGAAGTGGCTACTTGGTGAGGAATTTTGGGGGGTTTTTCGATTGAAATTTTGGTTTTTTAATTAAAAAAGGGACTTGAATGACGATAACTTTGAATGGAGAACTCATTCCCATTCACCTCCAGAAGGAGCTCTTCAATGGCTTGTTATGTTCTATGATTCTGAAGAATCTGATTGTAATGCTTTTGTTCCAATGTTTGAAACAGTTGCCCATAAGTTATTTAAAAATAATTTAAAAAAATAATTTATTTAAATTTATTAGACTTAGAGGTTTAATAAATGTTGGAAAAGTGGACACATCTGTTAGTGATGATGTTACTGAACGTTTTAGAATTGATGAAAGTCAATGTCCAACAATTTTATTTTGAGTTTTTTCATTTAAAAAAAGAATATTTTTTTCTAATTTTTTACAGATTTCACAGAGGAAAATTTTTTCGTTATAACGAGGCGGCAAAGGATGTTAATGGGGTTGTCTCCTTTGCAATGTATAAATTCAAGGAACAACGTGGCCATCGAGTACCGGAGCCGCCAACTGCTTTGGAACATTTTTACGAGCATTTCAAAGAGCGATTAACTGATGCTATTGTATGTTTAGAGTTTTACTTATTTTACGTTAAGTGCTTCGAAGGTTTTACTAGGTTATTTCATAAAAAAGTTCGTTTTTTCACCGGGTGTTTTCTGAGTGATAACCATTTTTATCCGATTTTGTTTTCATCTTATTTTATAGCTCAGAGTCTTAGCTTCATAATGATATTAAAATTGTAAACTCCTAGGGAGATACAAGGTACATGTAAAAAATAAATTTCGAAGCACTGGTTATATTAATTTCATTTTAAATTATTCTGTTTGCCTTTTTCTAATTTTTAATTTAAAGGAAGATAATCAAAAGTTGACAGCAATCTGTGTAGGAGGGGCCATTTTAATTGTTAGCATTTGTCTTGCATTTAAAGCATATCGGATACGTTCAGAACAGCAATCGACTATTTCAACTAGCAGTAGAAGAGCAACTAATACACAATAAATAATTAATTAAAAATTAGTTAGCTTTTTAAATATATTTAGTTTTGAATCCCGTTATTTACTATTTTTATTGGTTTTATTTTTTCTCAATTTTTATAATAAATTTTTATTTTGCCATTCTTGTTTCTATCAAATATAAAAATTACTAAACAATTTAAAATTATATTTTTTACAGATTACTTTATTAATAAACAAAATTAATCCTTTAATATTAATTAATTAATTGTTTCTGATTTAATTATTACTCGTCCCTCTTTATTCTTCCTCTTCTTCTTCTGCTCTCCAAATATCAGCTTTTACATTAGTGTTACTTGATGATTTAATTTCTTCGTTCTAAATAAATTTATAAAAATATTTTTTTAATTTTTATATAAAAAAATTTTGTGTCTCGAAAAGTTCTTTCGAATGATATACTATAATTTAATTATATATCAAGTAAAAATACTCAAAATGGTTATGGAAACAGGGAAAAAGGGGGGTCAGCCAAATTATTACCAAATTATTCTCATTTGATATTTTCGACCAGAACTCCCTGAATACCTAACGAAAAATTCTCAAATGCTGGGATCCTTTAGAGCATAGTCTAACAGATGATTCGTAATAAAAATAAAAAAATTTTTCAGAAAACTTAATTTTAAAAATCGAAAAAACCTAAATAAAAAAAGCGACACTAATAATGACCCGACCTAATATTTTCATTTACTCGCATCAAATAATTTAGGTAAGTATTTATTTATTCCCCACATTTCTTCAAATCATTTAAAGTTTAATTTTTGGAATTTTCTTTTTTTAATTTTCAAAAAAAATCCAACAAACATTATTTCCCTCATCATTTTCTCCATTTTCTTTTCTCTCCTTCTCCTCCAATTCCCTCATACGACGATTTGCCTCCTCTTGCATTTTTTCCAATTTTTCCAAAGTAACTGATTTTAATGGACAAATTTTGGGTTTGCAATAAGCTGGCAATAAAGATTCTTGTTCAAATACATAACCATTAGGTGGCCATATTAATTCTTTTGGCTCTTGTTCATGTTGAGGTTGTTGGTAATTATTTGAATTATTTTCATTCATTTTTTGGAGAATTAAATTAAAATAAAATTGTAAAGTTAATTATAAAAAAATAAAAGAATATTCTTCTTAAATTTTAAATAACAATTAAAAAATTTGAGAAAAAGTCATCAATCTGCACAAAAACCACAAAAAACACATTTTTGTAAATTGTTTCTATCATTAAAAATTTTTTGCATCTGCCATTTTTCCTTAGCAACCAAACAAAAAAATTGTAAAAAAAAATAATTTTATATGTTTAGCGCCTACCCGACTTTTGTGAACCCGACATTTAAAAATATTGAACATATCTAACTTTCTTTTGTCATGAATAGCAAGGTATTTTTAATTCAAAGAAAGCCTAAAAATTGCTTAACTTTTAAAACAAGAAACATCAAAATCTGTCAAATCTTGAAAAAATACGGCCAAATTATTTTTAATTAATTATCATAATTTTGATTATTTTGTGAATAATTACATATTATTAGCTCAGGGCTTCGATCTCGAATTTTTAAAAATCCGCAATTTTGATAGAAAAAATCCGCATTTGATATGAAAAATCCGCATTTTTAAAAATAATCCTCATCGCCCTATCAAAAAACCACAAAATGAGGAAAAATCCGCAGAAATCGAAGCCCATAATTTTGAAACAGAATCCGAAAATTAATTAAGATTTTTAAAAAATTTTCGACGGTCTTTGACTTATTTTGTTCTATTTTTCTTTCATTAAATTATCATTTCCATATTTATTTATGCATTTTTAAAAAACTTTACAAATAATTTTAATACGCACATTTTTTAAACGAGTATGTAGTTAAAGGGGAAATGTCTTTTTAAATGAATTTTGGAAAATTTAAATTTTTATAGAACCCAGGACAGGAAACAAGGAATTCCCGACCCCGGTTTCATCCCGGCATTCAAAAAAGCCGAAAAAAGGACCGGGAAAGTGAACTGGATCACGACAACACTCCAAATAACTTTATAAAATTTAAATTTCACTAAAAATAAAAATTATTTATTTATTTGGCGTTATGCTCTTTATATTGATTTAACGTCTCTACCTCTCCGTTTTGCGCTTTCTCTCTTTGATGTTTTTTCTTTTGCTAAAAGCGGTTGTTGCTCTTTGCGTCAGACAACAATTTTCAGCATTTTTACTTGACAAGTTTTAACTTCTTAAATTTTATTTAAGCTTTCCCCTAAATAATATTTTTATTTAAGCTTTCTTATTTTTAATTATTTTTTAATATATGTACATTAAATTCTCATGCACTTGACTTTTTTTTCTTTTTTACATATGTATTTTTTATTCTTTTATTTTCCAGGCTGTTTATGCTCTTAACGTTTTTTCTCATTGCTTTTTCTTTCCTTTTCTTGCGCATTTTTTATTTTTTAAGGAAATAAATTGCTTCAACCCCCATGCCGGGTTCGGGGATTGAAGCTAAATTTGTTCGAAAATTGTGAAAATAGGTTTTGAATAAATAGGAAAAGAATAATAATCTCGATAATCTAATCTCGATTTTCCCCAAATTTGTAGGAAGCTCGTAAAGACTAGTTGTATACTATGATGAAGTCTCAACCGCGGGGAGAATTTTCTTTCTTTGACGGCTGTCCATTAAAAAGCACATGCCCCCTGTATCTATCTAAAGCTTTTATAGAGAGGCAGAATGGACAACAACTGTGTTTCTTGGCCTGCTAGTCCCAAATACCGCCTCTGGCAATGACTTGTCCCTTTACTTCACAGCAAGACAAGAATGAAAAAATGGGGAAATTGTCTGAGGAAATAAATAGTAGAAAGACTGGAAAAAGCTGAGAGAGAGAAAAATGGTGAGAATAAATGAAGCTTTATTTGAGGTTTGTATATATGTACGTGTGAATGAAGTCTGTTGAGGACATGCTTCCCTCCTTTTTATATTTTACTTCATCGATCTGCTAATAAACAATAGACAAAATTCGTAATCGAAAAAGGCTGATTTTACAAAAAAATAAGAATACATATTTGAGTTACATATTTTTAGAGATTTTAGGTAAAAATGAGGGTTTTAATTGTTTATGGACATTTTCTTTTTTCTTAATTATTTAAATTTTAATCTACATATTAACATGTCTAGAAAGATTGTAATATTTTTGACGTTTAAAAATCTGCGCAATACTGCCTTTTTTTAATTTTTCATTTAATGGTCTCACTAAAAATTAAAATTGAGCACTTTTTAATAAATGCATTTATATAGCTTCTTTAATATATACTTTATAAATTCCTAAATATAGCTTAAAGTATATTTTATTAAGATTAAGTATAACCCAATTACTTTTTTTCTAAATATTTTTAGACTAAAAGCAACAACAATATCCCTAATATCCCTGTTTTAATTTTTAAAAATCTTTTTTTCTATCAATTCTGTTTATATATTTTTTGTAAGTTCCTTCATTTATTTCAAGCATTTTTATAATAAAAAGAAAAAGAAGGGGAGACTTCCCCACTTTTTATTTTCATCATCAATTTTATATTGAAGTGCCATCCACAAAAAATCCCAAAAAGCCATCTGCTTCCAAAACATTAAAAATAAATAAATATTCAGAATATCCTTCATCTAATTTTTCTCTTATTTTTTTTTCTTCCAAATAAACTAAAATACTTTTGTGGAAAGAGAACTCTCCGAAAAAGATCGATTCTTTTTGTTTGTTGTGTGCTTTTGGGTGCGCTCTTTCTTCTCTACTATTTTTCTTTCTATTCCCCCTGAATATACCTATTTTTACCCCTTTTATATATTCCTTAACCCACTTGTTTCTTTTTACTGTTAAACCGTAAAAATTTATTAAAAAAAAATTTTTTTAATCTAAAAATAGGTAATTTAAATTATTATTTATTTTTGAGATCGGGTAATAAAAATTAGCCTGTATTCTGATTTTAAATTTATTTGGAAAATTTTGGTTATTTTGGTTAAAAATTATTTTTTTATTATTTTTTTCTTTAAATTCTCCCTCAATTTATTATTATTTTAATTTTTTTCTTTAAATTTTAGACTCATCAATTAGAACGACAACAAAAATACTCTCTTTTTTCTTTTGTTATAATAATATTTGAATATTTTAAAATAATGAAACGTTATCGTGCAGTAGATGCGCCACCAAAATTTAGGCGTACAGCTAAAGGACGTGGTCGAATCGGAGAATCAGTTTATTTTACAAGGTTTTTTTTAAATTTAATTTTATATTAAAAATGTTTTGGATTTATTGTCTGGGAGGCAATTTTTATAATTTAAGCGTGTAGGCGTTTTTATAGACAGATAGGCAAGGATTCTTGTGGATTTTAAACTAATTCTCTAGGATTTTTAGTGGGTTTCTCGGCATTTCTCTTTCTGCGAATTTTTCACTTTCATTTTTTCAGTTAAATTAATTTTAACGTTTAATTTTGTTATTCTATGTTATTTTTATTCTATTGTAAGTTTTCTATTTTAGATTTCAAAATTTTAAACAATCTTCAGTGCTTTTTTCTTAAATATTTTCATTTTTCTATTTTAAGTTAAAGCACGCATATTTTATTCTATACCTTATATTTTGGACTCCAATTTTTGGTAAAATTTTAAGGGCATTAGTTTAATCCTTTATTTTTTTAATTTTCAAAAAAAAATTAATTTTTGTTTAGTTTACTTTTCAGATTCTTTAACGCTTACAACCTCGTCTACTTAAAGTTTTTTCTGATGTGGGTCGGATGTATTACACTCGATTTTCTTATTGGTTTTCGTTTTGAATTGCTCTGGCCACTTTGGCTCTTGGTTCGCCATCTTTATGAATCCTTTCGTATTCACGCCTTTTCCTCTTCTCTTCAGTACTCAGTAATTTTTTTAAAATTTTAAAAATAAATTGGATCAAATAGGAAATTTTAAAAATTCTAAAATTTTGTTCTCCTAGTCAAAATCTTTATGTTTTAATTCATTTCATGGTCCAGAACGATTTTGAATAAATTGGACCAGGCCCGTAACTAGGATTTTTTTTCGGGGGGGGGGGGAAATTTTATTGCGCCAAATTTTTGGCGCCGAAGGCGCCAAAAATTTTTATTTTTAGCGCCGCAGGCGAAAATTTTTTTAATTTTAGAAGGCCGTAGGCCAAAAAATTCACTTTTTCGGCGCCGCAGGCGCCAAAAATTTGATTTTCAGCGCCGCAGGCGAAAATTTTTTGAATTTTGGACCTCAAGAAGCCAGATTTCGTCCTTTTTTAGCGCCGCAGGCGAAAATTTTGAAAATTTCGAAGGCCGTAGGCCAAAAAAATTCACTTTTTTGCCCCAGCCCTTCCCCAAATTTTTTCCTTTTTCCCATTTCGGGGGGGGGAATTCCCCCCCTCACCCCCCCCCCTGGTTACGGGCCTGAATTGGACTATTTTCGTTTGGAAGTTCCTTTCCCGATTTCTGAGATTAACTTGTTTAAACTTTTAAGGAGTATCTTCAATTATAATTTTACTTGTTGATTAAGGTTTTCTTTTTAAGACTTCCTTTGTAGTACATTAAAATGGAGGGTTGAGCGTTTTACATTTATCCAAAATTTTGTTATTTCCAATTTCTATATCTTAAAAGATAAAACTTGGAAGAAATTCCAATTTTTCCAATTTTTATATCTTAAAAGATAAAAAATTGGAAGAAATAACAAAATTTTTATTAAAATTTTAAGGCTTTTTCCGTGTTCTTTGTTTGCGTCACTGCTACTTCAGATCTCGTCTGCTATTTATTTATCCCAATACAAGTGTTGATTTTTCTTGCTAGCACCTATGTTTGGGTCCAATTTGTTTACCAAGCATGTATGAAAATTTTTTATATTGTAAGCTCGCTGATATAAACATTTCCCTTTTTTACCCAAAATATACCCTAAATTTATTTTCAATTTCTCTAAATTTTTATTTTTCTTAACAGCTGATAGAGGCATTTGTTTGCCTTCAATATTTCTTTGGGCTCTCTTCATAATATTTGAATACTCCGTTAGATACCGGTTCGACAACGCAACATGGTATTTAACAAGAACATCTTGGGTGACTGCTGGACTCTTTCCTTCAACAGCAGGTATATTTTAGTTTTTTAATTTTATAGTATCACTATACAGATAAACTTTTGGGGTCGATATTATCCTGTATCAAAGCCGTAGCCACGAGGAGTCCCCTCTACCACCCCGAAATGGGAAATTTTCAAAAATTTCCCCTGTGGCGCTAAAAATCAAATGACCCTCTTCGATATTGGTTATTTTTGGTTCCAAGTTTCTCTATGTTCTTATTACTTTGTGTTTTTTAATAACTCTTAATATTTTTCAATTTTTCCTTTTTCAGATAGCGTTTCTGTAGGATCACCTTCATCAGCATCATCTACTTCATCACCTCGCCTCGAACTTTATAGACCGTTTGCGGCACATTGTATTGGTTTTCCTGTTGTTACATTAGGATTCCGAGTCAAGTCATTTTTTAGGTTTTTAATGTTTTTTTTTAATTTTAAACATTTGGGCATCCCCTCATCCTCATTCTTAATTTATGGATTTCACACATCTTTATAATAATTAATAAATCATGGGGAAAAATCGATGGAAAGAGGGCATTGCACTCTTTCCTTTCTTTTAAATTTTAAAGAAAAAAATATGACAGGCCCATGTGAGAAATTTTATTAAGAAATTAATTAAAGGAATTTTATATAGCTATGTAGAATTATTTTTTTTAGCTATATGTATATTTTAAATAAAAATGAGTAGTTATATATTTTCAGGAATTTTTGAATTTAAATAATTTTTTATTTTTCTGTTTTGAATTTTTAGGCATACCTTTTAAAGTTTTTGAATAAATTTTCGATTAATTTTGGGGAACCTTTAATAGTATTTTGGAGACTGTTCCAAAGTTTTACTCCGGTATTGAACAGAAAAGCTTATTTTTTTGCTGTATACATTTTCTTTGAAGTTACTAAACAATATTAATAATTAATTTTTCAGTAATTGGAGAATGAGAATTAGACGTGAAGAGGTACGTAGACAGAATGAGTTCTACGAAAGAATTTTGTCAGACGCTCTGCCTGCTTCCTTTGAAAATCGGAAGCATTTTATTTCTTCAAGGAGCCATTTCTCCATGGAACAACATGAAATTTTTGGTTTATTTTAAAGTTAAAATTTTTGATTAATTTTTATTTAGATCTTGATTCGAATGGTGGATTTGCTACAACTGAATTTTTGAATGGATTGGATGGTCCACAGTCAACACTCCCCCGTTTATCTTCAAATTCGTCAACTCAATTTGCTGCAATTTGTGCAGCACCGTTAAATACTTCAACATCGGGCATTACCTCATCATTATCTTCGGTAAATTTAAATTTTTATTATCGCTCTCGTTATCCATAGTAGTGTTTTATTCGAACGTTAAGATGTGGAATCCATTACGCTAGGTATAAATAACTTGCCAGTCCTTTATGTTTGTATATTTGGCGTTTAAATATTTCATTTAGATACCCCAGAACACTTCAATTGGAGCATCTAACACAATTATGACTAATTTACCAAAGAAACGGCAGTCCAAACAAACAAAGCAACAAAATGGAACTTTAAAAAGAGGTGGCGTTACTAATACAACGATAGTAAAGTCATGGCGTGGTGCTGATAGTGCTATAATGAATGGTAGTGGTAGTATAACTAATAAAGGTTTGTTCTTATTAATTGGATATTTAGGATATATTTTTGGTCATTTCTTTGTCTTCTTGCGTATTTTTAGAAAAAAATTAAGACTATTTTTTGCTAAGTTTTTCCAAAGATATTAAAAATTTTCTTTTAAGTTCGAAAATTATTCATCAATGCTTTTCGACTTTGTTGCCTTTTTGTGCTATCTACAATTGGATATATCTTTAGCAGTCTAACGCCTTCTATGCAACAAACGCTTGAAAGATTAATGTCTAAATTGAAAGGAAATTCAAATTCTGTTGGCGGACAAGATGATATTATTTCATCTAGCGGTGATGGCTCAAATATTGCTGAAGAGGATGATTGGGAAAGAGATTCTAATCATTATCAAACAATTAATTTAGGTTTATTTTGTCTTCTTTTTAAAGATTTTTTAAATTCATTTTTAGATTCTTCAAATGTAAATTTAATTCAAAGTGGAAAACGGCGAGCTCGAAGACCAAGAGGTCTTTCTACTCTTTCCTCTAATTCTACAACAACAAATGAACAACAACAAAGTTCTTCTTCGGCAAAAACTCCAACAACTTCATCTTGTTCAATTTCTTACGCAAATGGTGATTTGGCTCTCACACCGAATGCTGGAAGCAGTGGAATTTCTTTTTTGATTGGAAATGATTTATCTCTAACAGAAAATGGGGAGCAAATACGTGATAATGCAATGAAAATGAGTGAATTGAAACATTTATTGAAACAAAAACAAATGTTTGGAGAATTTTATATTTTCTTTTTAAATTTTTGTTTTAAGGTTGGAGCAATCAATGGAGAAACTTCGAAATGAGCTTAAAATATCTCGTCATGGTGAGAATGATTTACGTTCGCAACTTGCTTCTGCACAACAACAAGAACAAACCACTCGATGTGAATGGCGTCAATACGAGAGAGAACAGAAACAAAAATTAGAACAATTGGAACAAAAAGGCCGTCAATTAAACAAACAAAATGAACATTTCAAAACAAACATTCAAGCTTTGGAAAAACGTGTTGGTGAATTACAATTGAAGAAAATAGAAATAGAGAGAGAATTAGCAAATGAGCGACTTGCAAAACAACAACAGTTAAATGCTGCTGTGGATAATTCTAATCGGTAAATATAAAATATCAAAAAGAAATTTTTTATCCAATTTTTAGTCACGAAAATGGTGAACTACAAAAACAAAAATTAATCAATATGGACAAAGAATTGAAGCATTTGAAACGAGAATTTAAAAATAAAGAAGAATTTTGTTCAAAACTTGAAGAGGAAATGCGCCGATTATCTGCAGCTAGAAATGACGAGGTTTTTTAAAAATAAAAATTTAGCGTCCTCGTTGAGTTGGTCCCGAAAAAATAAAAATTATGAAAACGGAATTAGAACGTTCTGACGCATACCTGAACGATTTTATTTTTGAAATTCAGATTCAAAAAGTTTAAACATTTTATTTTTTAGAGCAAACAAATTGAAACACTTCGTCAAAAGAATTTCTTGTTAGAACAAACACTATCAGCTGAGAATAGATTAAAACAAGATTTATTCCGTGCATTAAATGATTCAAAAGCTGAAATTGCTTCAATGAAAGGTATATATAATTTAAAATTATAAATTTTAAATAAAATAATTTTTAGCCCAACTCCGGGCAAAACACACAAAAGATCAAGCTGATATGATGAACGCATTTACCTCTACTCCAAGCGAAAATTCTATTTTCCAAAATGGATTCGTCACAAAAAGTTGCGGAGATAAGGAAAATAGTACTTCATTGTCGACTGGTTCTTCACCAATTCAACATCAACAAAATTTTTCATCGCAAAATACACAAAAATCATTAACTCCGCCACCTTTGTCAGTCGCTAGTTCAACATTAAATTTGGAACAATTATTACAAGCAACGCAAAATATGTCGGTTTTTAAATGTCTTTTATGATTTTTGTCAGTCTTATAAATTTCCTCTAATTTTTTCAGAAAATACCCCACATATACCTCTCAAATTTGGATTAAAATTCTCTAATTATTTACCAAAGATTTACTTCTTTAGGTCCTATTCTCTCGGCCCTATTGTAAATTCGAATGGAATAACAAGTTGCTGCTCTGGTACACAAAATGGCCCAATTTGTACAACATCTTCGCCATATATAAATTCTGAAGCATCTGAAATGTTAGCAGTTGGTGGTCATCGAGGTGGTTCAACAAGTAGTGGCAGCAACACAAATACTGCCAGTAACAACAACAGAAATTGCGGAAACGGGCAATAATTGCCTACAAATTTAAAATTTTGTGAAGTTTGGTTTGAGATGAGGAATGAATGTGAAAGTTCTTTTACCTTTTAATGTATTTTTCCTCGTTTTTTGTGTTGATTTTTTTCTTGCGCATTTAAAACACCAAAAACGATTTGAAAATTAGGTGAAAAGTAGTCGAGAAGTTAGAATTGTCGCACATACTTCCCGCGTAAATTCTTCACCCAGCTATACTTTCTCATTTTTTGTTTTCAAAATTTTCAGTTAAATGAAGAAAACTTTTTTATTTTAATTAATTTGGACACTATTACACCCTATAACTTTGGTCAGAATTTCGATATTGGCACAGAAAATTCATTTTTTAATTGAAATACCTAATTGCCAAGATTATATCCTCGATGTCTCTAACATAAAAAACATCCATATTTTTATTTAAAAACTAATTCTAAAACAATCTTGTTTTGGATAAAGAAAACAAAGAAATGAATAGGCAAATATTGTTTCCTACCAAAGAATTATTGTTGGATTGATGATCTTGTTAAAGTTCCCTCAGCAGTAATTGTTGTACGTTTTTTCCGTGTCTTTAGATATATTTTTTAAATATTTTTAAAAACATTTATCTTTTATTTACCTGTGTCATAGAAATTGGATTTGTTTCAATCATTCTTGTAATCCTTCGAGAAGTTACTGGTGCTAGTTTTGGCAATTGTTTTTGTTGTTTACCTCCCTTCCCTCCAGTTTTCCCTGAAGATTTCCCTTCCCCTTCTATTGAATTTATTTCGTTTAAACTAGCTGGATTTTTAGTAAATTCTTCATAAAATGCTTCACTAACTCTAAGTCTTGGCTCGATTGAAAGTTCCTTAAAAAACTTTAATTTTTAAAATAAAATTTAAAAAAATTTTTTTACAATATTTTTTTCTGTTCTCAACCGATTTGACAATTGGTCAAGCTCTTGTTCTGTATTATATACCGCTGTTTTAAGTTCTTGTAAAAGAACAATATTTGAACGAAAATCATTGTAAAGTTTAACAATTTCTTCTGTTGCTGGGGGATACTCCAAACCAATTGAAACTTGAAAATAAATTAAATGTTTGTTAGAATATAAGGAATTATTTAAATATTAACCAATTTGTAGTGAAGTAACAACCATTCCAATATTATTAAGTTTTCGTTGTGCTTAAAGAAAATATTTTATATTTTAAACTAGAAAATCTTTCAGTTTTCTATACCTGTATTGCTAGGTAATTTCATTTCCTGTGTACGCAAATGAGGACCTGGTTGTCTATATTCAGGCCAACGAATATGTGGTTCAGACTAAAATTTTACTAAAAATAATTTAACTAAAATATACAGGCATTAATTGATCAGAAGCCAACGAAGCTTGGGTCCTAAGCCGTTTGAGAGATCGCCGATGTGCTGCACGACTGCTGGTCGAAGTCCCACCAACGACAGAAGGAGAACCACACGTTGAACTTTAAAAAAGAATATTTTTTGGAAATTCAAAAAAAACCTGTCAGGAGAGACAGAAATTCTCTCAGCGGTTGCATTAATTAAACGTTGTAAATCGTGGGCTTTCTTTTCACGCTCTTTACGTTTTGCTTCAATTTTTCTCACAGCTTCTTTAAGTTCTTCTTCCTCTTTTATCTAAAAAATAATTGAAATAAATATAGTTAATGTCTCAGCTTGTCTCTAATTCTTTGAATATTTATTTTAATTTATTAAAATTTTTCCTTGCCTGTTCTTCTGTTCTGTTCCACAATTTAATCAGTTGTTTCTTTCTTCTTCTCTCATGTTCAGCATCATATGCTAAAGGTTCCGATTGTGTATTTCTAGCAACATTTAATTCATTAACAATCCCATAATAACGTTCCTTCATGTCTTCAACACTTTTTCGATCTTTGAAACGTTCACGGTCAAAACGATCTTCCACAATTGGCCAACTATATTTAATAAATTAAAAATAAAAGAAAATAAACCGAAGGTCAAATCTGTGGCATAAATCGAGTAAATGAATTGTTTCTTCTTTATTCCAACGTTCATCATCCAAATATTCATCATATTCCATATCAGTGAATGTAACTAGATCTAATTGCTTTAATTAAAAAATAGAAATTTTTAATTAAAAATACTAAATGATTTTTATTTAAAAACCCCCCAGTTAAAACAAAAAGGAATAGTCATAATTAGTTTATAAAATATGAATTAATATTGTCATCCAACCAAAAATAAACTTGCCAACAAAATAAAAGTTAATATTGTTTTTAAATTTTTTAAGTCAACCCCCTTACTGATTGAAATAAAAAATATTTATTTTAGAAAACTTTTTACTTTATTAAACCGGGCAAATTGATATGGTTGTCCAATCAAGTCTTCCCTCTCCCAATGAGAAAGTTGTAATCCATCTTCTCTAGCATCATTCAAAAAAGGTTTCCACATCCATTTACGAACAATACGTTTACCAAACTAAAAATTAAAATAATTATCATATTTTCTAAAAAACAAACATCTGCTTTAACAACAGAATAACCATGTTTCGTATTTGTTGGCGCTAAAGATTCGATTTTTTCTAAAAAATTTTAAAAATAAAGAATTTGACATAAAAAAACTACAAACCTTTATTATTATCTTTTCCCTGATGAACAAATAAATTAAACAATTCTCGATGCATACCTGCAGGTCTTTTGATCTGATCAGATTTTTTAATTGTCTAAATTTAATACAGATTTTTAAGAAAAACTACATAATAAGAGACTCTATGGGAAATGTTCGCTGAATTAGATAAATCCAAATGCTAATTACAATTGAGGATTCCAAAGTTGGCATAAAACTTTAAACTGAATAACCCAAAAAAGCAAACTAAAGTTATAGTAGTTAGAAAAATGGGAAAAATATTTTCAGAAAAATTAATTACATCCATAAAATAACCTTTTTGTCAACATTTGTTAAATTTAAATTAGGTAGTGCTGAGGATTGTTGTCTTCTTGACATAGAAGTTGCCCCGAGAATATCTTGAGCATCGCCTGACATTATCTTTAAAAATTAAAAAAACTAAATTTAATAATTAAAAAATATTTTTAATTATTCAAATATTATAGCAAATAAAAACTTTTTATTTAAAAAACAGAGAGAGAAAATAATTTACTCGTAGTCCAAAAATAAATAAGAAAAATATTTGAAACAATGATCCACGAATGTTTTTTAAAATGTGTTTACAACACAAAAAATTATATTTTAGAGAGAAACGTCAAAATATATAATGAATTTTAAAGGATATCTCAAAAATAAATAAATTGGACATTACAAAAATATTTTTAAGACAAAAATTATAATTGTTGGTTAAACCAAAGACTTTCAATTCAGTTAACCTAAAATCGTTTCGGTTTGGTGTATACTACTTTTTATTTTGTTTTTAAAAAACTTTATTTATTTGGATGAACATTATGCCTCTTTATTTGTAAATTTTGGGGAGAGAAAAAAGGAAGTAAACAAGGATGTTAACAAAAATTACCAAAAATTGTAATGTCCAATTGAGGGAAATGATTAAAACAATAATCGGATATCAAAACATAAACCCATACCTAATTTTATGATTTTTCAAAAATAAATAATTAACCAAAACTTTAATATATAAATTCTTTCTCAAGTAGAAACATCTGATATCTCAATTCCTCTCTCACGAAGCATATTGCAGACTTTAAACAAAAACTTGAAAATAAACTGATTGACCAAATTCTGAATTTTAGAAAAAAAAAATTAATTAAAAAATTAATTTAAAAATTATTTCAATATACTTGATGAGCATGTTGACTAAAAATACTGAGAGGAACCCATTCATCAGCAAATTGCTCTCCCTGATATTTAACTAACAGCTCCGGTTCTTTCCCATAATCAACACGCATACGAATGATACCTGAAAGTTGAAGAATTTAATTTATTTAATTTATTATCAAACTCAAAGGCATAGCACCACAAGTAACAGCATAATCTAAATAAATTAAAAATAAATTTTCTAAAAATATGGAAACGGTCTGGTTTATGATAATAAAACAACTAAATTTATTAGGTTAATTTATTTCCTTTTCTGTTATGCCGACAAATAACCGCAAAAAAGATAAAGATTTCCTTTTTTTTCCCCTCAATTTCATTCAATTAAAACTAAAACAAACTTGTAGTTTTCTTCAAAACTGTTTGTGTTCCTTCATCTCCACTATTTTCATCAGGAATTGACGGAATCTCGGAAGTCTGAGATTCCGAATTATTAGCCAATCCATTCGTCTCCGGAACAACTTCAGGTACTTCAACATCTCTAGCCTCAGAATTTTTAGAAGAAATACTAAGAAGTGATGGTCGTCCACGTCGTCTACCAGTCCTCTTCTTTCGTTCAACAATTTCTGGAAAAGACTTTTTGTCCTTTGCTTGTTCTGGCGTTTTTTGCAAATTTTCTTCAATTTTCTTTTTCTTATCTTCATTTTGTTTTTCTTTTTCAATTTCATTTTGCAAATCTTCCTTCTTTTTCTTAATAATCAATCCTTCACTTCTACGTTTTGATGGTGGAAGTTCACTAGCAATAAAGTTATCTTTCGATTTTCGACTATATTTCTGTCTTCCTTGTTGCGTAGAAGATGAGTTTTCCTCAGAAACCGATTCATCCATTTTTAAACGTTTTGACTAGAATTTAAAAAATTATAATTAAAAGAAACAAAAATAACCTCATGTTCCTCATCATCACTATCCAAATAATGCCAATAACTTCTTTTTGCACGCATTTTTCGTTTTTTAACATTTTTCTCAGACTCCTCCGTATTTGAATCATTCAATTTATTCTTCTTATATTCTTGAAAGTCATCAATAAGTTTAGTAAATTGCTGAAAATGACTAGCCAATTCCCAAGTCTGATCAGAATAACCAATCCATTGAATCTTAAATTATTTAAAAGTAAAACATTAAACTAAAATGGGAGGAAATATTTTTAAAAATTTGTATCAGAAGTTACTAAATCTTAATAATTAAATCTAAAAATAATTTAAACAAACCAAATATTCCTTTTTCTTTCCAACTCCGCGTTCATCGAGAATTTTCTCTGCAATATATTCACCATCCAAATATCGACGACGTTCTTTCTTCGAATTTCGCTTTGAGCTTGCTTGAGAAGTATTGAGAATATTTGAAGTCTCGTGAACGTTAAAAGTTTCTTTTGGAGTTTGAATTGATTCTTCATTGTTTGTTGCTACTTTACCCTAAAATAAAGTTTTGGGTATTTTTTAGTTTTTTATATTATCCATTTGGTTATTTGACATTCGAAATATTTAAGAAAAAAAGAAACAAGAGAAAATGTTGGGAGTTAACCGAAAAATACCAATTTTTGAATTTAAATTTTTAAAACCAAACCAAATCTCTATTCTCCTCATTACTTCCAGAAGATTGCATTGGGGCAGTAGAAATCTCACGTTCATCATTATCAGAGTCTTCTATACCAGTATCATTTTGACGTTTTTGAGACTAAAAAAATATTGTTAAATATATTCTGGATATTAAAAACTGGGGGTGCCGACCCGAACCGTGCACGAAAGATCGAGTTATTTTCCAAAATTACACTTGACCCGAATACCAGTCAGGACCAAGAACAGAAACCCTATTAAAAACCTTAAGAAAAACCTCTTGTGACAACTCCGGTTGAACAAAACCGCTATTCCCTTCTTCTTCTTCCTGTCCATTTGAAGTCATCAAATCATCTTTTTTATCAGATAAATTATTCGAAACTTCTTTATTTGAAGTAAAACTAGCAGGAGAGCTGCTGCTAAAATCAAGCATTTTCCCAGATTTTCGAATAATACGGCTACGAATGTTCAAAAATTCATAAGATTGCGAAAAATGACGGTCTTTAACTCGAGAAGAACGGCGCAATTCTTTTTCCTCATTGCCGTTATCATCAATAAAACTACCAGATTTGCTCTAAAATTAAATTAATTGTTACATAATGAACGGGGCGACATTTTGCAGACTTCTTCCATATTTCTTCCTGAATATTTTCGGGTTCAATCAGTTAGAAAGGATTGAAAACTCTAACAAAGAAATTTGAAAGTAAAATGTGATTCCAGCCAAAAACCAACAAAATTCCCGGAAAAGGGAAATAGAGAAAAAGTCTGCAGGAAAGGCCTCCCATCCTTCAGTAAAGCAAATAATTTTAAAAGTTTAAATTTTCATTAATATTTATAATTAAACAAACTCTAATTTTAATAGAACCATCACTACTCATAAATCGAGTTTTGCCATCAGAATCAGGCATAAATTTAAATCCTTGGTAATTATTTTCATACTCATTTGAACGTCCTCTTATTTTGTTGTTTTCAATAATACTTTTTATAGAATCCATAATTAACCTAAAAAAAGTAATTTATAAATTAAATTAATCAATAAAAAAGAATTTTAGAATAATTTACAGAATCAAAAATGTGTATAAATTAAAATTAAATAATTTGTATATTCAGCCACAAGAATGAGATGAAAGCAAAGCCAAATTAATTGTAAGGGGTGGAGGCTTTAACACCACAGAAGGGCGCGCACACAACGGTAAAGCCCGTTTTAGAGCACTCGGTGGGATCAACTGGCCTTTTCCTTAGTGACGATCTTCTAATATATTTTCCCCAATCGACGTTATATTGCATCTACCTTTTAAGGAAACGACCTTTTGTAGGAGCCAAGTGAAACTGTTCACTAGAGTGCTGCAGTTTGAGAGCGAGCCACAGAGTGTCTGTTCTTTTTTACATTTCGCCAAATTCGTTTTATTTTAAAATTGAAAATTTGTTCTCATTGTTAGAAAAAATCTTAAAATTCTAATGTTGACTCTTTTTTGTTTACGTAATTTCGCTTAAAATATATGCTTAATTTTGCGACTTCGACTTATATTTTCGGTAATAGAGATGGTTCGAAGAATCCCTAGAAATTCCAGTATCTACATAAATTATAAAATAAACAAGGTTCTATCATGTTCCCATCATCGATATCTCAAAACTTAGCAGAAACCCGGGTTAAATATTTAAAAATATCCTTTAAATATTTTTTTTTCTTAGCACTTTATTTAAAAATAATTATTTTTAACTACAAATTCCCCCCAAAAAAATTCAATTTATTTTAATTTTTACTAAAAATCTTTGGCAACCATTATTTAAATAAATCCCCCTACTAATCCCTTATCTTTCTCCATTAAATATTCACGTAATTCTAATATATTTTTTATACTTTTAGTACATATTTTTATGTAAATATATGTCCTTTAATGTAAATAAAAAGAATTAATTAATTAAATTATTCTCAATTAACAACAACAAAATAAATTGCCTTTAAATAAATATGTGGAGAAGAACACCTTTACAAAATAATACAAATGAGGAATGTTGTTCTAATGATAATAATTTATCTCAACAATCAAAGGAAATGTTTTGGGAAGGTTTGCTTGTTTTTTAATTTTTAAATTCAAAAATAATAATTTTTCTAAAAAAATACTAACATAAATCCTCACCTAAAGATTTGATTATATAGTTATCTTTACTCTCTGCTTTTATTTAATTTTCAACAAGTTCCACATTTCTAAATTTTTATTTTAATCTTTTGTTAATTTAAATTAATTTTCTTTAATTATTTTTTCTTTATGTTAAAGATTTTACTTATTGTTAGGTTGTGAACTAAGTTTTAAGCCCCCTTTGAGTTGAACTGATTTTTTGGCAGAAATTAGGAAATTCTCGTAGGATCATAAAAGAATAAAATTTGATTCAGATTACATTTTGTTGAATTTTAGGAACATTTAATCCGAGTTACGAATTTTTAACTCAAGGAGGCCTAAAACTTAGTTTACAACCAAAGTATTTTCTAATTATTTTCTTTTATATTTAATTTTAATTTATTTCTACTTAATATTTATTTTAAAAATTCTTTTTTTTATTTGTTTTATTTTAAAAAGCTTTTTTACTTTTATTTTTCCAAAAAATTTTTTCTTCCTTTTGTTTGATTCATTTATTTTTGCTGGCTCATATTTCTTGCTTGGCAAACTTTTAAAATTGTAAAGTGGAAGGAGGAAATATTTTACAAAGTTTTTATTTAAATTAAAAATTAATTTTTAGCCTCTTTTCTTTCTATCAAGAATTACTCTTTAAATTCTCGATTTTTACTAAAATTTTTGTCTAAATTTATTTCCTTTTTTTCACATTTATTTTTTAAAATTTAGACTTGTTAATTTATTTTAAAATTATTTTTCTCTTTTTTTTAATTTTTTAAACAAATACTAAAAACTATTTATTTTAAACAAGTAAAGATTTGTTTGTTTTTTTTTAATATTTTTTTCTCAATTACTTTTCTTTTTACATTTTCAAAAAAACTTATCTTTTCTTTTTTATTTTTGGACTTTACAAGTCTTTTAAATTTAAAATTAATACTTTTTTTGTTTATTTTTATTGCCTTTGTTTTTTTTTATTTAGCATCTTTTCCCCCTTTCCTTTTTTCCATTCTCGATTTACTCCAAATATATATTCTTTTTTATATATTTATTGATTGTTCTTCTACTGGCATTTTTTCTTTTTTCTTCTTTTTTCATTTATTTAATATTTTATTTATATCAAAGTCCCCCAAACCAACCAGCCACCTTACATTTTTATTTAAACGTTCGAATTAATGTAACGCTTACGCCAGCCATTTTCTCGGTTAATTTGAGTCCAGGGAATTCATTTAAAATAATTTTTTGTTTGTTTTTAAAATTTAATTTTAAAAAAATTAAAATTATTTTTTAATTCCTCCCCGAATTTATTTTTCTTTTAATTAAATTATTTTTTACCTTATTTTTCAATCATTTCCGCTCCCCCAATTCTTTTCATCGCATTAAAAGATTTAATGATTTATCATCTTTTTTCTGTTTGGAATATTTTTGGGGGGAAAAGAATAAATGACAAATGCGATTAGTAGAGAATAAAAAAAGAAAAAAATTATTTTTAACTAAAGATTGAGGCAAAATTCATTTTTCGTTTATTTCCTCACCTAGAATTTAAAAAAATTTTTATTTTATTTTCGGATGATCAATTCTTTTTTAGAAAATTAAAAAGTCTAACATCTGTTTTAAGTTTATTTTTTTAAAAGATTTTTTATGAAATTTTATACTTTTTTTTAAATTTATTTTTGGAAATTACTTTTAAAAAAATTATTTTAGTAATTTTTAAGAATTTTTTAGAAATATTATTTCCTTGTTTTTATTAATTAGGTATTTTATCTTAACTTAAAAATAAGTGATTTCTTTAATTAATTTCTTCTTTTAATTATTTTATTTCTCTTTTTATTAAAAAATAATGAAATTTTTTAAATAAAAAAATTAATTTATCATTTATTTTTATTTATTTTTATTTATTTTTTTTTCTCAATAATAATTATTAATTATCTCTTTTTATTTTTCTAAAATTTTTTTTTGTCTTTTTCCGGCCAATTGTGTTATATTGAATATTTTATTCTGTCTCAATTATATATTTTCTATTAAAGTCTAACGAACATTTGTTTTTTAAGCTCGTTAATGTTTTTTGGAAGATTTATTAACCAATTTAGATTTACTTTCTAATTAATTTTTTTAAAAATCAGACAAATATTGGTTAGCTTTTTTGATTAAAATATTTTTTCAAACTCCGCTAAATAATTTTTTTCTTAATTTTTATTTTTAAATTATAATTCTTTTAAATATTTTTAGTTTTTTTTCGAAGATTTCTTGAAATATAAATTATTTTAGAGAAAATGTCCTTTTTTAAATATTTTTATTCAAAACATCCTTTTTATTAAAGCTCTAACAAAAAAATGTAATTCTATCTCCTTTTAAAATGTTTCCAAAAACAATTGTTTTTAGAATTGTACTTTTAGTTATTTGCAAAGATTTTATTAAATACTTGAAATAAAAATAAATAAATATTTATTTTAAAAAGTCCATTCATTTTTTTCTTTTATTTGCTCGGATTAATCTTCATTTTATATATCCCCTTTTATTTTTAACAATTATTATATTCATTGTTCTTTTTAAGGGCTTAATTTTGCTATTATTTTAGTATTCTCTCATCTTCACTTTAATTTTCCCTTTTGTATTTTTAACTACGTATTTCTTGAGGGTTTTAATTATTTTTTGAAAATATTCTTTCTTTTTTTGACGTTCTTTTTTAATCCCTTTTATGTCGACAACTAAATAATATATAAATAATATTTAAAAATATTTTTAATAAAAATTGTTGGGATAAAAAATGAATTTTCTCCATCTAAATATATCCGCTTATGATTCATTGTTGATTTTTATTATACTTAAATTTTTAAAGTAAAGTTACGATTTTTGTTTGTTTTTTCGATTGAAAGGAATATTTTTTGAGATTAATTTCCTTTTTCGGTTATTTAAAAATTATTTGAATATTTTTAAATTTAAAATATATCAACAATTATAAAAAGTTGACCTTTTTCCTAAATTAACAACGTTTTTATTTTTTCGCTTCCAAACAAATTTATACCTTCTTTTTTTCTTTTTTTTCAAAAAGCCCGCATTTCTTTCAAGGTTAAATTGCGCAATAAATTAATTTTTTAAAAGTATTTTTATTGTTTTTAATTTTTATTTAAATTGAGGATAATAAAATTAACTAAAATTACTGAGTTTTAATTTCTGAAATGAGAGAATTTCTAATTTATTTAAAAAAAAAGTTTTTTCCTTCATTTTCTTTCTCTATTTTTCTTACTAAAATCTTTTTAATTTTTGTGACGATATTAATTTTTAATTAATTTCTGATTAAAATAAAAATTATTTTTTTAGAATTTCTTATTCGCTCCTCTCGCCCTCTTCCACCAATGTCAGCATCGCGAGCAAAGATTAAACAACGAACAACAACACCTCCCGACAAAAATAATCTTCAATTATTACCAAAAACTTCACCTCGCCCAATACCGGGACTTTCTTTTGAAGAACCAACATCTTCAGAAATGGCTATGCTTTTGAAGGAATTAAATGAGGTATTTATTTTAAATTGTATTTTTAAAGAGAAGGGATAATTAAATTAAATAATTAATTTCTTCTCTTTTGTTAATTCGTTAAAAAATCAATTAAATTAAAAGAGACTGTCAGTTGTTAATTCTTTTAAGAAAATTTATTTTTAATCGATTTTGTTTAAAATATTTTTTTTGTTTTTTATAAAAAAAGTTTACTTTTAAATTGGGCAGATTAATTATTTTGGAATTTAACCATAAATTTTTTAAAAATTATTTCTTAATGTTCCAAAACCACCAACAATTTTTGTCAGAAAATAATAATTTGGTGAATATTTAAATATTAATTAATATATTTTTTAAAACTGTTTTTTTCAGAGAAAACAGGATCTTGAGTTGGCAGCTAACTTAGGAAATTCTTTGTTGCAAGAGAACAAGGAATTATTAGAAAAGTAATTTATTTTAAATATTATTTTTAATTAAATTTTTTTTGAAATTATGTCTTTAAATAACTTTTTAAGTTCCATTAATTTTCTATTGAATATTAATTTTTATTTTTTAAATAATTTAGAAATGAATTTCTCGAAGAATCTCTTGCAACAAGCAATGAAACAATCTCTCAACTTCAACGCCATTTAAAACAACGTAGCAAACTTTTTCGTACAATTGTAGATTTGGAGAATGAATATACTGAAGAGGAGGAGACGGAGAAGGCTTGTTGTAGTAATTCTTGTGCTGCGAGGTTTTTAATTTAAAAAATTTTTTGGTGGGATAAGATACAGAAAATATTTTTTTTGGGGAGGAGGCTTTACTTTTTCTTCTCTTATATCTATTTTGTAGATAAAATATTTGAATACTATTCTTTTAAAGGTCGGTAGATTTTTCTCGAATGGAAAAACAACTTTCAAATTTGGAGAAAGAAAATACTCGATTGCGTATTAAGGTCTATATTTTTAGTAATTATTTTTAAAAAATTTTTGTTTTAATTAGGTTGATGATTTGGAAGAACAAAAGAAGACTATTGAAAAGAGAGAAGGGAATACTGTTAGCGATTATATGTCACAATTGAGGACGGCGAATTTAAAGGTTTCTAAATGATTTTTGTTTTTAAATTATTATTATTCTTTAAGATTGCACAAATTCAAGTTCAACTGGGTGAGAAAGCAAAACAATGTGAATCCCAAACAGAAGAAATCCAACGATTATTGTCTGATATTTCTGAAAGGAAGAAACGGGAACGTATTGTATGTAATTTATTTTAAATAATTTTTTAACTTTATAAATTAACAGCTTTGGGATGAAAATGAGGACATTCAAACACGTTTGGACAATGAAATACAGACACATGAACAACTTCGTTCTGAAATTGAATTACTCCAAGAACGCTATTTAGATCTTATTGTAGTGCTTAAAGACACAGAAGATGAATTGAGGGAACACCGTCGAAAGGCGGAAGTTCCTCCCCCACCTCCAATTAGACGAACAAATAGTGTAGACTCGCTTTATGATTCTTTAGCGTCAGAATTGGAAGGAGCTGATTCTGGTGGATGTTATGGAACTCCAATGTTTTCTGCAAGGTTTTGAAAGTTTTTTTTTGATTTTTCAACCTGTATGATCGTTTATAAATGAAGCTGGGTTCTTGTTTTAATTATTTTTAAAGTTATTTTTTACGGGAGCAGGCCAGTGTGCCCAATGTACCGCCGAGCTATAACTTTGTTCAAAGTTTTTGAATCCGTGGCGCCCTGGTATGGTTCGATGCTTCTCGACCAGCTGAATCGAACCATACCAGGGCGCCACGGATTCGACAATTTTGGACAAAGTTATAGCCCGGCGGTACATTGGGCTCGCGGTAATTCGGGGGTGTACCCATTTTTTACTGCTTTATATTAATCATTTTATGTTAAATTTAAAATTTCAGATATGGTCCATCAGCACATTGTAGTTCTTTGGGTTCTGGGGGTGCTATTGATCAACAACAACAATCACCATCTCACCAACCATCTACTTCAAATGCTTTACTTGATTGTCAACCTCAACAAGAAATGTCTTTAAATTGTCAAAATTTTGATGTGCCTTCTCGTGCCTTATTAGAAGCTGTTCGTAGTACTCTTGAAGATAGAAAACATTTACAAAGATTAAATAATAAACAACAGAAAAGAAAAATTTCTAAAGAAGAAGGGAAAGACAGTCAACCACCAATAATTGATTCTCCAACTACACCCATTTGTATTCCTTTAAATAATGGAGGACAACAAATATCTAGAAAAATCTTTCAGGTTGTTATTTAATAAAATAACTAAAAAATTTTAAAAATAAATTTATTAAAGGATGCATGTTGTTCACCAATTCAATTCTCTCCAAGACAATCAAATAACGAATGTGCCTCTTCTTCTTTTTGTTGGAAATTTTCAACTCCACAAAAAACCAACAAAAACATTTCTTTGCAAAATAATTCTGGTTCTTCAACAGAAAGTATTGATTCACTTTCTAGTTATTGTCCACCAAAATTAGGAACTCCTGGAAGGCCTGGTTCTAAAGATTTGGATTTTAGTATTAGACGGTTGTCCTTGCGAAAAGAGGTTGGAATTTAATTATTTTTTGTTTCTTTTCAATATATCGTATATTTAAATTAAAAATTTGGTTTTGTATGTGGCTGTGGTGTAGTGGTATCGTTACTGACTGCAATTATTTAAGGGTAGGGTTCGAGTCCTTGTCACAGATAGTTTTATTTTTAATATATTTTTCTAAACTAAAAATTTTATTTTTTAATTTTCTATCGCTTTTTTAACATTTTTATTTTTTAAATCTCTGTTTTTAAAAAATTTGTTTTGTTTTTTGTGTAATTTAAGGAAAAACAAATTCTCCCACAAGAGAAGAAATGTGAAGAAGAAATTGTCATCCATCCAAATTTGGTTGAGAATTTTTTTTAATTTTTTTCGTTTGTCCTTTGTTTTTTATTTGTTATTTATTTTTGAATAATTTAATTAAAAAAATTTTGTTAACAGATAAATGAAAGTTATGCCCGTTTTCGCAATTCTAAAGGACTTCCTCCTACTCAAAATGGATTTTACTCTCCAAATGGAACGGTAAATTTTTAATAAAAGAATATTTTTTTAATAATAATTTTTATTTTTAAATTAAAGAATTGTCAATTTATATATAAATCTGGATTTCCAAGTTGTTGTCCAACAAAACAACTTAATCGTTTATGTAAAAATTCTTCAAATAATAATTCTCCAATAATTAGTAAAAGCAGTCCAGAATGTTCGAGATTTTCTTTAATTAAAAAAGAAGAAGAAAATAATTTATTTAAATCTTCTTTTGGAAAAGGAAAAATAACAAAAAATGGAGGAATATTTTGTTTAGCTGATTTATTTATTAAAAATAATAGAAGGGAAAATAATGGAGGAGTAAGTTTTTTTAATTAAAAAAAACAAAACTTAAACTTATAAAAGTATATTAATTTCTGTTAATAAAATAATTTTAGAATTCTCGAACAATTGTAACAAGTGAAAGTTGTTCTTCAGGTTTAGAATGTTATGGAAATAATTCTTCTACAAATGAAGATAATTTGACAATTAAAAACAGTAATTCAGAAGAATCCCCTCCAAAATCTTCAAAAAATATTCAAAAATATTTATTTGCTCAACAAAAAATTAATGAACTTGGAATTAATTTACTAAATTCTTCCAATAGCAATACAAGTGTGATAACAGCTATAGAAATACAAAAACAACAAAATATTTTGGGTGTTCTACAACGTTTTGGAGGCAACTAAATTTTGTAAAAATACTAGCCAGAATTTTATTATTTTCTGTTGTTTTTATAGTTAATAGGTGAAAATAGCTATTAATTTTTCTCTTACAAATTAGAGATTAAAATTTTGATTAGATTCGAAAAACATTTTTTTGTGTTTGGGACTAGAGAAAAAGATTTTTGTGGAAATATCAAACTCGAACTCCAAGGAAGATTAAATATATCTCTTAGAAAATAGCTATTTTCACCACTATATGTATATTTAGGAATATAAAGCATTACTTTACTCTTTTTTTATAAAAAAAAGTTAGGAGTGCAGTAATGCTTTATGTTTTTTTACTAGTTTTCTTGTAACCTTTAAATTATAAAAATATGCCCAATTTTCTTAAAATTCTGTATCCTTTTCTGTTGCTGGAGATAAAATCTCGTTCTTTCATATCTTAGCCCAAGAAAATTTTATTAAAAATATGTAATACTTCCAAATCACTTGTTTATTATTACTCGATAAAATTTAAATTATAAAAAATGTTTTTTTAATTAAAAAGCAAAATACATATAAAATATTTTGGCATAATTTAGAAATATGATAAACACATTTTTTCTGTATACAAAAACGGGCCTTACTTGCACGACACTCCTCTACGAACACAGGATTCTTATCAGTGCTGGGTATTTGCCATTTGTTGGCTCCGGCTCCGGCTCCGGGCTCCGGGGTTTGAAAATCTTGGCTCCGGCTCCGGGCTCCGGGGTTTCAAAATCTTGGCTCCGGCTCCGGGCTCCGACCTTTTAAAATCTTGGCTCCGGCTCCAGCTCCGGCTCCGGAGCCGGCGATTTTCGGAGCCGCTCCATGTTGGCTCCGGGCTCCGGCTTGAAAATCAATTAATTATTTTTCATTGGGGGATTTTGGTAGATAAAGGAGGATATCGAGTGATATAAGAGGATTAAGAGGGTTATCAATGGATTAAGCGGGATTTGGGTGGATTATCGTGTGCATTAAGGGCGATATCGGGGAATTAAGCTGGATTAAGGGGATTTGGGTTGTCTGGGAGTTGGGCGAATAGGATATGTTGGATTTTTCTTCTCATTATCACTTGCTTTTTGCGCCGCAGGCGAAAATTTTGTGAATTTTGAAGATCCTTAAGCCAAAAATCTTCCTTTTTTGCGCCGCAGGCGAAAATTTTGAGAATTTTGGAAGATCCTTAAGCCAAAAATCTTCCTTTTTTGCGCCGCAGGCAAAAATTTTGAAAAATTTGACTCACAGGAGACTAAAATTAATCAATTTAAAAAATTTATCCAGCTACTTTACAAAGTAAAGGAAAGAAAATCTTTTTTACCCGTCTCAATTTTCTCTTCCTTTTCTTTTCTCGCCTACCATCTTTGCTTACTTCTTTTTCTCTAACCCATCTTTAGGGGTGTATAGCCGGAGCCGTGGGGAATTGGAAAACCTTGGCTCCGGCTCCGGGCTCCGGGGTTTGAAATTCTTGGCTCCGGCTCCAGCTCCGGCTCCGGGGTTTTCAAAATCTTAGCTCCGGCTCCGGCTCCGCCGGAGCCGGCTCCGGAGCCATACCCAGCACTGATTCTTATCTGAAAGTTGACATAAGTGAAATCCCACCGCATTTTACTACACTCACTTTATAACGTCAAATTCCCCCAACATGTACGAGAAGTGTCGTACAAACGAAGCGCGGCTTTCTAACAAAAAAGACAAAAATTCAAATTTAAAAATAAACAATGTGAAAATTATTTATAAACAAAAACAAATCTTTAAAATCCAGTAAATATATATTTAATGCTTCCTTTATTTTTATTGTTTTTATTTAGTCCCATCAAAACGGCGTCTTATAACATTTTGTTGTTGAATACTTTCTGGCTGACTTCTCAGAATGGACATATTTTGTGTATTGTTGTATTGACTTTGAAGTTGAGAAAATGTTGAAGGTGGAAATTCCTTTAAAAGGGAAAAGTTTTTGGTTTAATAGGTGTGCGGACATATCGGGATTTGAGCCGACAATTTTAAATATCCCGATATGTCCGCGTGCCGTTTAATAATCTTTGTTTGCCTAATCAAATTTTAAATATTTATACATCCAATCATTTCTATTCGTGCAAACAAAATAATCTATAAACTAAAATCACACGTCAAAGATTTTGTGATTATTCACGGATTACATCAAATATCATTAACAGAATTAAAAAACAAAATGAATAGACTTTTAAAGGAACTTTCAAAAAACGGTTAAATTGAAAAATTATTGGACGTATAAACACAGAAAAAGCCAAAGGAAATTTTATTTTAAAATATAAAATTATTGCCTTGATTTTGAAATTAGTCAATGGACGATCAAACCATTCCAATATTGCTTCTAAAAATTATTGAATGAAAATATAATTATTTAGAGTATTCTGTTTTTTTAAATTTTCCCCGTGATAATTTATCAAATCATCACAAATTCTGATCTAGTAAGTATCCAAAAATAAAGTTCACTAAACCCCTTTTTTTAAATTTCTCAAAAAAACCTTCATCTTCAGTGTCTGGATAATCCATCATTTTTATTTCCTTCTTCTTTTCTTCTTCAATTTTCTCTCCTTCAAACTTTTCCCACAAAAACTCTTCATCATCAATTTCTTTAATATAATCCAAAAATTGTTTTTTATGTTTAATATTTTTAATTGGATTTGGTTTTAATTTAATTCCATTCCATTTTACTGTTTCTAAAACTTCTACAATACGAGCAATTCCTTTAGTCCCCATTTCTTCTTCATCATCATCAGAATCATTTGGTTGATTATTCTTTAAATAAAAATAAATTGACATTAAAGTCCCTTAACTTTTATTCTGTGGAGAAATATCGGGATGTTTAAATTAGGGTTGAAACCCGGACCGAATTCGGATTTTCGAGATCAGATGGTCCGGAACAGGCCCGTAGCCAGGGGGTCCAACATAAACACGCAAGAATTTAGTTTTCTCTCAGCAATCCCGATATGTTCGCCCACAACATCGGGATTATTACAAAAATTGCCCGATTAAAATTTATTTAAAAATTACCGATCCTTCTTCATTAAAAACATTAATTATTTCAATATTGTGTGTAAGAGCAAATTTATTTAATTTTGCAAAATCAAATGGAGTTGAATTTAATTTATTATCAAAGCCCTCAGAATTTGTCCAGTTTTTTATAATAAGTGTCTAAAAATAAATTTCAAAAATAATTTTTTAAAATAAAATTTTCAAAGAAACCTTAACATCCAAAGACTCAATTTGTGAAATTTGAGAAAGTTTATCCAAAAAATGTTCATCAATTTCTTCAGGAAAAGCACAAACAATTAATGCAAGAAATAAATTTTCGCCTTTTTGTTTTGATTGCCTTTCTGTAAAATCTTCAAATGAATTAAAATTAAATACTGGAACATCACAAATATAATATTTTGTGTTTAAATGAAGAATTGCTGATGAACTTAAAAATATTTTATAAAAATTGAAGAGCTTTTTTTTATTTTCCATTAAAAAATTTAAACAAGTAGATATCTCGAGAGCTAGCCAGCGTTGGGCTCCAAGAGTGACCCAGACTTGGGACATGTCGAATTCAGAACAAAAGAAAATTTTCTACTAACTTTTTATCCAACAAATAAATTATAAGGAAAGGGAGAGACTCGGTCTACTTTTGGTTTAATCAAACCTGAATATTTTGGACAATTTTTTCTCGCTTTTTGAGCATTCAAATTAGGCCCTAAACCATTTCTTAAATAGAGGATAAAAGAACGTTCATTCATAAACACGCAGAAAAAAAACAAAAATTAAAAAACCTGTATTTCTTGTTGTCTATATTTTCATTAGAATTTGCTGTCAAATGTTCCAAAACTTTTTGTAAAACAAAATTATCCTTGTCATTAACAAAAGCGCAAGCAGTAATTAAATTATCTTTTGACATTATTTTTTGTTTATATTTTCAAAAAAATTTAAATATTTTAAAAATTAAAAAAGAAATATTTAAACTGAGTATTAACCTCTTTTTTTACAAAAAATAAACAAACAAATAACAAAAAGTCAATTTATTTTTACCCACAAATCTCAAAATAATACAAAAAATGTTTGGTGTATTTAAATAATAATAGATATTTTTATGTAGGTGTCTGAATAGATGTGTGTGTGAATTATAAAAGAAAAACGCGGTATATTTTAATTGTTGATTTTGTATACACCAAAAAATTGAAAAAAAACTTTTTACAATTTTTCAAAAAAAATTTTTTTTAGAATATACAAAACCAACAATTTCCAGAAAAGAAAGTTCTTTATTGTTTCATTTTTTCGTTTGTTATCCAAAAAAGGAAAGTAGAAAGGCTAAAAATAAGAGCACATTAAATAGAAAGGATATGATGGTTTGTTAGGTTATTTTTTAGGTTTAGATTTGCTTAAAAAGAATTTTAAAAAAATTCTTTCCAAAAATTAAAAAAACAAATCAATCCCTTTAAATTGGTCAAATAAATAATTTAATAAATTTTAGATTATTTGTTTACAACATAAGGAGAAATTAGGAATTTTATTCTCCAAAAACATTGAAAAAGAAAATAATTAAAAACAATTTTCATGTCCTTAAAAAATAATTTTTAATAATTAATTAATATGTATATATACTTTTCTTATAGCTATATTAAAAGATTGGAGCAATTAATTAGAAAAACAACAAGATAACCTTTTTATTTATATATTTAGACAAATGAAAATTAAAAGAATTTTAAACAAATAATTTTTAACATTAAAAACAAAAAATTCTTTTAATTTCCTCAACCGACAATCGATCACAAATAAGAACAAAAAAACATACATTGTATAGTAACCATAAAATAAATATTTCGAAAAAAGAGCAAACAGTTAAATACGTCCAGAAAATTTATGAGAAAGAGTCAACAGGAAGGGGGAAATTTTTAAGAAAAAAGGTCCAGAATCTGCCAAATAGAATAATTCCCCAAAAAATGTCACAAATATGTCATCGCTCCAAGGTCCTTAATAAAATTAAAAAAAAACCCTTCAAGTCTGTTTAGAAGTCCCCGCCTTTGTTTGCTGCTTCTTGGAAGTGTTTGAAGTATTTCCAACATTACCACGTTGTTTGGGGGCATTCCCGTTAACAGCATTCCCACCATCAGTCGAATTTCCAGGAGTGAGTTGTTGTCGACGTCTTGGAGCCACAATTCCATTTGAATTAATATCAGCGAGCAAAGCTGGGTCAATGCCCTTAGCCTTTAACGACTCGAAAATGTTGCGTTGAATCTCAGCGAGTTGGTCAGGAGCGATGGAATCAGATTTGAGCACAATTCCATTCTCCTCTACTTGAGCAATAAGTCCCTTCTCTGAAAAAATAAAGAAAATACCCTCAAAATATTTTTAAAAAAACCTTGGTTAACAGGACTAATTTGTCCTCCCAAACCAGAATCTACAGAGCTAACTAAACTCGAAGGACTGTTTGAGCGTCGCACAGCTTGGCGCACAGAAGCTGCAATAGAATTAACATTTCTGTTGTCATTAATTTCTTTTCGCTGTTCCTCTAATTTTTTGTTATTGTCAATGATGTTTTCGGTCACCTTCACAGGAATTACTTTAAAAATAAATAAGAGAATAAATTTTAATCAAAATTTAATTAAATACCACTTCCAAACTGATTCATCGACTCAATCAGTGATGTAAATGCATTAGTATCGCATAAAAAGCGTGTTGTCAACGCTGTTTCCAAGTCAACAGTTTTGGCTGCTGAATTACGTTTTTCAAGGTCTGCGGCGATTTTTACGTTTTTAATTTTGGCAATTTGTTTAATGTCTTCGGTTCTTGAAGCAAAATATGCAAGTCCATCACGATGGCATTGAGAAAGTTCCGACATCAATTCCTGCTCTCGTAGAGAAATTGCGTCGCGAATTTGCTGTAAAAATTAAAACAAAATTAATGTTGGAGAAACAAATTTTAAAAGTAAAAAACCGTTAAACACCGCTGAATATTCTCGCGAGCATAAGTAACTTCGTTTTCAAAAAGAGTTCGATTTTCGTCCAAATAATTTGAATATGTACTGCCCGTCAAAGGAATTGTAGCATTATTAGCTTCTACAAAATAGAAATATTTTGAGTGTGAAAGAAAACACAAAATAACCTAAATTCTCAGAAGCCAACTTCTTAGGTTGAAATTGTTGAGCATCCGGCATGAAAGAAGTCATATCACGTTGAGGAACAAAATTTTGAATGGGACTTTTAGCTATGGCAACGGACGAAGGTGGAATTGTATGTCGTTGTTGGCCGTTTTCCACAAGCTCATTATTCTCGTCATTGAGCAAAATTTGTTGTGATTGATGCAAAACAGGCGTGGCAAACCCAGTAGAGTTTGCGGGAGAAGGTAAACTTGAAACAGAACTTGTCCCAAGTCGTACTCTAAAACAAGGCATCAATTAATGTTAATATTCTAAAGGAAAAAATACTTACTCTTTGGTCATCTCCCCATTGTTACTCCCTCCACCGCCCTTTGCCGCCTTGGACTTCTTTTTGTTGTTTCGCTTTTTAGTGGTCCCAGTCTTCTCCCAATCGCCGAGAGCGATTTGCGAACCGCCTGAAATTTATACATTAAAATTAAAAAAAGACGAAAAGGTAAAAATAAATTTAGAAACAATTCCAAGAAATAAAGAATTGATTCCCTTAATTTTATAAATAATTAAACCTTCACAAAATGCATGAATTGTCTTTTCAACGTCCAATTCAAAATTGTGTAAAGCCAACACAATGTCATTAGTGCTCACATTTTTAACAACTTCTCGAACTTTTGAAATCTTCTCATCCATAAGCTTTTTCTCAATTTTTGGTTGAGAAGCAGCAGAAGCGATTGACGATTGTGGTGCCGTTTTCATCATAATAGTAATTAAAAAGTTTTAGTAATTAAAATTGTTTTTAAGAAAATATTAAAGAAAATATATTTGTTGCAGCAAGCAATAAAAGGGTTGAACTTCTCTGAAGAAAAAAAATAAAAAGTAATTATTTAGTTAATATTTAAAATATTGCCACATAAAGAAACAAAAAGAAAAAACTATTTAAAATGTCTATCAAAAATGAGAGACATTAATTGACAACCAGCAAAAAAGGCAAAAAAGGTGTGAGAAAAGAAAAAGCTTAGAAAACTGTCTGGACTGATATATACAAATTTTGATTGCATATGAATAGTTGTATGTGAATAAGGAGGGGGAAAGGAGAAAGAAGAGAGGAAAGGAAATAACAAATAAAAAATTTAGCAAGGAATTAAAAAGCAAAGAATGTGTAGAAGAAGAGGATAATGAAAAAAAAGATGGTGCGATTTGTGTAAAAAAACGCGCAACCAACCAACAGAAACTATGGCATGTACAAGCAATAGAAAAGTATATTGAGCTACACATTACTCTCTTCAAAAACTTCCACTATCCATTTATCGGGGTGTAATAGTAGAAGGGATGAAAATAAAAACTAACAGTACTAATCTGGCTCCCACATATTTTGCAAATCCCATATTTTGTCAACCAATGTTTTGCCAATTACCAAAAGAGGCAAAAATGTCCAGAAGAAGAAAATCCCGAAAAAATTATTTAAATGGTTGGCATTTTGTCTAAAAAGATATTTTCCCTAATTTAGTCTGACACGTCTTGTCTGGCGCCAGACGGGTGTCACAACTACCTAAATTTGTTTGGAAAAGAGAAGTGCAAGACTCAATCATAATCATTAGGCAATTATTGATTGATTGACATTTCTGCGACTTTTTGGAGTAAAGTGCAAAATGTAGAGTGAATAATTGTGACTGCAAAATAATGAATGGAGCCGTTACTAACTAAACATTCCTTTAATTTATTTCTGTAGAATTTCTCTTTATTTATCCTTTAATCGTTTATTACAGTAGTGAAAAATTCTTGATTCGAGAGGACAGACTCCCGTACCTTGAAAATTTTAATGCCTGTTAAAAGCCTATAATTTTAAAGTTACTTTAGCTAATTTCTTTATTTTCAATATTTAAATGCAAAAATTACATAATAAATGAGATAATTTGGCACATTCAATATATATTATACTTGAAAAGAAAAAAAAAGAAAAAAGACAATTAAATCAATTATTTTCTTAAAAATTTTCAAAAAAAATTAAAATTCAAAAATCAATCATGAGCAACCAATTTTCCATAATAAGCGTGCAATGCTTTTACTTTTTCTCCCAACAAACTTTGCTCTAATTCGACTTCTCCATCAGATGCTGCCAATGCAATAATCTTAAAAATAATTTTTAAATAAAATTTTAAATGAAAAACCTGATCAACAGAAGTATTTTTAGGTAAAAAATAAACAACATTTTGTGAGATCTTTTTTGCATAATTAAATATTTTAACACCATCTAAAATAATGTCCTTTTGTAAATCAAATTCTTCTTTTCCTGATTTTGCATAAGAAGGTCCACCCCAAGGTGGGCTTAAATAAACAGAATCTATCGCAAATGGATAAAGATCAGTTGTGTAAGGATATGAACTGAAAAAGGAAAAATTAATGGAATGTTGTTGAGAATAAATAAGTGGTTTTAGCCTAACGGTTTTGAATACCTTGAGAGAATTAAGACAGGCAAATGACACTTAAAAGTGAAGATGGAATTTAAAAATTTTTGACAGCAAAAAATCTAATAAACAATTTTATAATTGACTTCACCATTAAATATCGCCACCCAAAAATCTGGGGTGATCCTTTATAATTAATCAAAAAAAAACCTTTTAACAATTTTATTTTCCTCCTTATATTTCCTTGCTCCAATTAAGGATTTGCAAATATGGAAAAAATTTCCACAAATAAAGTTTATTCTATCGCGGGCACCATAAATTTGTGCATTTCTTGCTGAACAACGCAATTTCACTGGATCAATATCAATTGCATAAACTAAAAGAAGAATTTCCTTAAAAATCAAAAAAAATTCTTTAATTTCTTACCAAAAGCACCCTTCAAAGCAAATTGAATAGAATTTCCTCCAGAACCAGCAAATGCATCCAAAATTATACAATCTCTAATTCGGACAAGACGATCAGCAACATGTTGTGCAAGCATTTCTGGTGTAACCGAAAACTAGGCTTCACGATCTAACAAAATTCCCTCATCCAATTTAGTAAAGTAACGATAACGTTGAAACCAATATTTCATCATTTCCTTTAAAAAATAATTTTATAACTCTTTGAATATTGGAAAATCTAAAAAAGAAAAAACCTTATCATCAGAAAAATATTTGCGAGCCCTTTTAGCCACCAATTTTCTATCTCGTTTTGGATCAAAAGCAAAATCAAAATTTAATTTATCCTCAAAATTCAATTTTTCCATAGAAATGTTTATAGACAAAGAATCTTCTGAACCTTCAATTAAAGAAGTATTTGATTCTACTTTACTAGCTGTGCCAGATATTTGTACAGAACTTGTAGTTGCCGATAAAGATGATGATGTTCTTGCCTTTGCTTTTTTCCGTTTTTTCCCTTCAAATCCAGAAAATCTTTTGCAGTCTTCATTTTGCCAAAATTTTGCAAAATCAAGAATTCCAGCACTGAATTTACTACTTTCACTAAAATTTTTAAATAAATTTTATATTTACTATTCACTAAAACAAACCTTCCATCTTCACTACCATTAATTTTTTTCTTATAAAAAGTTTCTCCATTTAAATCAAAGCCAGTTGCGAATCCAAAACTACGAACCTGAAAACAATTTAAAATAAAATTATTTTAAAAATTACATTTTTTTCAAAATCCTTGCAAAATTTTTGCTTTTTTGACGGCGCTTTATTTTTTAAATTTCCAACATCATTTGAACAATTAATTTCATCATGTAATTTTTCTTTTTTGACATCTTCGTCCTTTTGCATATTTGTTGAAACTTCTTGAATTTGCTCTTCTAATAAATCCTCTTTTGATTCACTTTCATCAGCAACAAATTCTCCATCATCATCGCCTTGACGTAACAGATCCATATCGCTATAAAATTTTTATTAAAAAATTTTCAGCTAGAGAATTCGTTTTTAACAATATTTAACAGTCAAGATTATAAAACTACACATGATCCACATCAACAATTGCCAACGGTAATTAACGAAAATATTTTATCAGGCCTATGGACAGGATATCGAGACAGAGCAAATCAAATTTTAATTAAAAAAACACTCACTCAATGTAGACACGCGAAAAGACACAATGAATGTGGGATTTTTTCTTTACTTCTGGATTAATAAATTCAAGATCTGCATCAATTAAAACTGACCAATCGAATGCGTAATCTTGAGAAGTTTTTGTTTCGTTTAACACTGAGGAATAATCACTAGAATTTTCATACATCTAAAAATTAAAAAAGAACCGGCAATTATTTAATAATTAAATGGTAGAAACCAAAATTATGATAAATTAACAATTTATTAAAATTTTATACACATAACACTTTGGGCAGTCAAAAATTATTTAACTTTGTTTGTTAGAAGGAAAAATGAGATCAATTAATGTGGATTGACTTAATATTAAAAGCAACAGATTACCTCTATATTACCTAACAATAAGTGAAAATAAAAATTAACTACTACAATCTATATACAAATCATTTCTTTCGCTTCTTCTTTTCCATTAACATGCTTGCCTTAAAATGTTTTTATTTAAATAAAATTAAAAAAACAAACTGTATTTCCAAGGATAATTCGTTTCTTCTCCTCATCATCAATTGGTTCAGCCACAAATCTCTCAATTCCAGCTTGCCGAGAATTTCGTAAAAATTTTTGATTAATAAATTGTTGGAGAAGGACCCGTTTACATCTTTGTTTAATTGCTAATGCTAAATCCAACCATGTCCAGTTCTTGTCGTGATATTCACAATTTGGGAAGGTCAGATTGAAGCGATCTACATCCTCCAGATTTTTCTCTTTATTTCCCTAGAATGGTAAATAGTTATAATATAAATATTACATCCCCGGAGTAAGTGTCAAAATTGTTCAACTCCAAAATTACAATTTCTCAATTCGCAAACAGAAGAGGAACCGGGCATTGGGATTAGGAAATAAAATTTTAAATATAAACAAACCTTATACGAAACAAGAAAAGGAACAGCTGGGATGATTATATAAACGAACATATTGTTTTTCTCTGAGCGTTCCTTCATTTTATCAATTTCATCTCGAATTGCAGCATATTGTGCAGCTTTAGTTTTTGTACTTCTAAATGAGTGATTCACAGCACCACGAATACGTTGAGCGAAAGAAAGTGGCTAAATCAAAAAAATATTTTTTAATATTGATTTCAAAAAAACCTGTTGATTATGTTGTTGTTGGTCATCAGAAGTATCTAAATTTTGTTGATCTTCCTTCTCAATATTACGCCCAGGAAAGAAATATTGCATCATTTTTTCGAAAAAACGATAAGTAATTTGTGCATGCATTGGGGCAATATTAACTTTAAAATTGAGTTTATAAATATTTATTTTACAATAAAACCTTCAAAATGCTCTTTAATACTAATTCCACCAACTGCAGGCAATTCTCGACAAATAACACGCATAGCTGGTGTTACATCAACACTAGTTGTGGTTTGCAGACGAGCTAAAGTCTCCTAAATGATGAGAAAATTTATTTTGCATCAAGCAAGAGTGGTATAGTTATGTATATAGGCGCTGGCTTTCACTCTGCGGGGGTTCGAATTCCACTGATGTTGACCAGATTTATTCTTTTCGCCTACTTATTTTGAATACTCAATGAGTCGCAATTTTTAGGGCGGCTCCTCTTGTCAGAATCTTTTAATCTTAAACAGAATTCTCAATTATAAACATACTTTGTATTTGCTGTTGGGTAATAAATTCAATACTTTAACAACACCAATCTCCAACAAATGATCACCAGAATTATCAATGCGTGCTGTTCTTGTGTAAAGAAAATTTCTAATTTGAACTTCGGAAAGTGAAATTTGACCATCATTTTCTGTTAACCGCCATATGCAATTTTCAAAGCAAACTAGAAAAATATTTTTATTCATTTTTTTGAAAAATCTTGATAAGGGATTACCTTCAAATAGTCTAGAAATGAATGGCTTTTGTTCATCATCTCCATATACTTCTTCACTGCCAACACGTAATTGAGTTATAAATTTTTGTGCTCGTTCCTCAACTTCTTTCTCTTTATAACAACTTATCATCATGACAAGCTCATCAATAAGCAAATTTTGTCGTTGTTTGTATTCATCAATGTCTGTTTGTAATTGGTTATTTTCTAATTCAAGTCTTTAAAAATAAAAGAAAAATATTTTAAATGATTTGTAAGAGTACTTTGGATCCATAGGATTCAATTGCATCTCCTTATTTAGAAAAAATGCTTGTCGTTCCAAAGCACGTACTAAAGAAACAAGTTCACGAAGATCACTCTATCATTAAAAATATATGTTAAAAACAAAAATTAAATAATTACCTGCATTTTTTGAATTGAGACACGAACACTTTGCTTTGGCCTTTTGAGCAACTCAAACCACATTCGTCTCCTATTTTCTTCCGATTGAGTTTTCCGAGGATCAATGAACATGATTAGATTTTGTAAGATATCAATACACATCTAAAATAATCTAACATAAAGTATAATATTTTAATGTAAGATTTTTTAGTGTACTTTTGAAAAATAACAAACCTGATATTGTTCTGAATTTGTACAAACTTCCAAAATGTTGTGCTTTAATGTGAACGTGTCAACTTCCTCACAGTGTCGCACACCCAAGCTGCCTCGCTCTTTTGTTGTATTGGCCTAATTGTATAAAGAATATTTTTTAAATAACAAAAAATAATCCCTCACCGCTGGAATTGTTATTTCCAAATCTTCCAATTCTTCAGTGCCAAGCATATCAGAGAAACAACAGAAGAAAAGTTGGCAACTGCATCTTGAAGCAACTCTTTGTAATTGAATAGAGGAAGATGAATCAACAGAAATTGTGCTATTATCTAAATTAATTGTAAACATCATTGCTTGATAATCAATAAAACCAATAACTAACCTACTACAACCCCGCCAACAGCTTCACCAGTTGTTGAAAAATCTTCTACTTTGCTTTGTTGCTGATCAGTGGGCATCTGTTTTTCTTCAATTATATCACGATTAAGCCAACGGAATTCTGTTGGTTTAAGGCTGCAATCATCTTGAGCAATAAATAAAGGTGCAAAATACTAAAAATTTTCTTCAATAACAAAAAAAGGAGAGAAAAATTAAAATTAACCTGCATCCCTGAAAGTGTTGTAATCCAAGATTTCTTCAGTAGTAATTGCTTCCTTCTCCAAACAGGCACATGTAACCGTTGTGAAACTGATGCCCGTGCTGCCGTCACCAGCATAAAGCCACCAACCTTTTCTGAACTTTTTAGAACCAACTGACTGTTTAATAGATCAACTATTAGAAATTAAAAATAATTATTAAAATGAAGAAAAATACTTTGCCAGTTTATTAAGATAACATCTTCCATTGTACATATACCAACACCATTGAGTGAATCAGTTGGATTTTGTGCAATCTTAAAAAGGAAGAATTACAAAACTATATTTAATGCTTAAGAAAAATGTGGATTTTTTATATACAGTTTAACACAAGAAGAATAGGAAACAAAAAACATTGGTTAGAAAAAAATGCGAACTTACATAAATGAAAGATAGTTTAATAGATTAAAACATTAATATTAACACTAACCTAGCATTTGTGAGAAGAATATAAGAAAGGGAGAAATTAATAACATAAAGATAACTTTTCTTAGTAATTCTTTAACATTTAAAAAGCAATAGAACCCAAGAAAAAAGGGCAATCAAAAAGAATAAAAAAAACCTCTTCACTATAAGCAACCAAATTAGTTTCTGCTTCATCTACTAGTCTCCAAAGCATTTCACGATCGTCAAGCAAGCTTCCAGCATCCCCATTTTCATGGCGTGGACTTCCAGAATTGACAGCAATTCCTCTCTTTACAGATGGATTTCGAGTAGTTCGTTGTGATGATGTACTGTTGGAATTCAAGCGACTTATTCCTGGGATATTTGAAGAATTAGTGCTTGTAGTTGCTTCATCTCCGAACTGAAAAAATGAAAATAAAAAATATAAAAATTCTATTTACATTAAACATTTTCAATGCTTCATTTGTCAGAATTTTTCGCAACATATGTGCTTTCTGTACCCCTTCAGCAATAACTAAACAAATATCACGATTGTCTATTGTCCAAGATGCCTTCAAATCAGTAATTGTCAAACGATGTACTGCTGTTCCCAAACAGGTAGACTGGCTAGATTCATCACTATTTGGATTTGAGGAATATTCAGTTCCATATTGAAAAGAATTTTTCTGAAAAAAATTACGGATAGGTCAAAAAAATTTAGATTTATTCTATTACCTTACTCTGCCTTGCCTCACGTATATAAGTAAGACGGGAAAGGCCAACAAAGAATGAAGAATTACTGCTATCTGTTGGAATATGTTCATCACGAAGTAAATCTTCATCATTTGGTTTAACCTTATATAAATGAATTTGGGTATTTTCGAGATGAGCAGTCACATGAGATATTTTCCAATCAATTCTTGATCGTCTAGAAATGTGATCCTAAAAATCGGTTTTAATTATAGTAAATAATTATTAAAAATACATTAGAATGATGTTGATGTACTTGTAATTGAGCAGATAATGTAAATTTAAGATTATCACTTATCACTCGGAACCCGTGTGAGGAAGAAAAAGACATCCAATAAGAGATTGAAAATCTTTGCAAAGTTGAACTGAGATTCATATTCCTTAAAAAAATTTTATTAAATAAAAAGATAAAAATAAACCTAAAATGTCTACTTAATTGATAACGTTTTGTTGTTTGAGTTGAAAAAATAGGTCCTCGTTTGACTGGTCTGTTTACAGTCATAAGTGTTTTCTGAAAAAGTAAAAATATATAATTTACTTCTGTGTTGAAAAATTAAAAACAGACAATGAGAAAATCAAGGCATTTGAATGTATTGGCATAAAGTTGAATCTGAGGGAACTGTCGTTTGATGTTATTCTCATCGCACTCACTAATTTCAAAACGAATATTTACATCAACACAAGAAGAACGAAAAGCTCGATATGAATCATGACCCTTAAAATTGTTTCATTCATTTAAAAAAATAGCGTAATAAACAAACAATATTAATAGAATATTCTGGCAATTTGTCAGGAGCACAAGGCTGTACTGAATGGTGGTCGTGTTGATCGCCAAGACAAATCCAATCTAAACTTATAGCGCAAATTAGGCGAGGGAGATGCAAAAGTCTAGAAAAAAGAGAAATTCTAATTAAAACTAAATATAATTAAATGTCGAAAAACCTTCTATCGTCATATTTACTGGCTGTTCGAATATACGCATCAACGTCAGATCGAATGTTGAATTCACCTAAAAGCATAATAAAAAATGAGTAAATACACAATCTGAAACCAGTTAGCCAATCAAATTCAAAATCCTCCCAAACAATTTCAACCAATTCAGTATCATTATAAGGATCAGTAGAAGCAAGCATAGATGTTTGTAGCCTAGTACAGGACATAGCAAAACGTCCATGTAAAAGTAGTCTAAGTTTGTCCCAAAAAGGGAGAGGTTCTGAAGGGTCTTTAGAAGGTGCATTTATAAGACTCCAACAAAGACTAATCATTGAAAGACAAGGCTCCCAACAAGGGCCATAAGTAACTTTTAAGTCAGAAATTTCTATAAAAATAGTTAGAAATTTTAAATAAAAATTCTAAATCAGACCGCATTTAAGATCATAAAAAAATTTGAGTGGGCACATGCTTCGTTCAATAATAAATCTGCCCCAAGGCTCTGGAGTATCAATAAATTGGTGACGAATTGATCTGCTTTCTAAATAGAATAGTAATATTTTATTCCAAAACAAATTTACCCATAATTTGTTCAGCTCCAACCAAAGTGCCCCAAAAATGGGCTTTTTGTAAATTCATATAAGGAAGAGGATAATCACGAAAATTCATTCGACTTTGGACTGCTTCTAGCTCGACAACACGAGCCCAAAGTGTAGAAAATTGAGGATCATTAATAGAGAAATTACTTTAAAGTTAAGGATTTATTTAAAAAATAATAAAAAAAACTAACGATTCAGAATTAAAAATATGAATATAATCAAGAACATTTTCTCTTCCATGCAAAGTCAGATCAGCAAAAGCTCGCAATTCTAATTCATTTATTTCCCAATGAAAAAGGCACCGGTCTAGCTGCTGTTGTCGAACTTTTTGAATTCTTTCCATGTAAAGCTGACCATCTTTCTTTATTAGAGATTGGTATAATGCATCAATTTTATTACCTGAAATTAATGTAAATTAATTGAACACAAGTATAGCCTATTTTGGACAGTGTAATAAAAATATTAAATACTTGGAAAGAAAGGATCCTCTTTCTTAAGTTGAGCAATTTTTGCATCTAAAATTTGCTTTCTCCGTTCTCGTTCAAAAACTTCATCCATTTGGACTTCATAAATATTTTGAAGTTGAATTTCAAATGGATCATCTTCGATGCGAAGAGTAACGATCTATTATTGAAGATTAAATTTGTATAAAGAATTAGAACGATCAAAACCTTAAACCTAATCCTAACATCAGCAGGCAATGGAGATTCTTTTGTGAATGGGTGACTCTTTATATTATGGACTAGTTTAATCCATTTGATACAATTAATTAGCTAAAATTAAAAAAACATTTTAAGTTAAAAAAAATTCTATAGAAATTCCAAAAATTAACATCGTCAAATGAATCAGCAAAATTATAACCATATGGAAAAACAATTTGCAATTGTTCTGCACTCCAAGACCATAAACGATTTGTTTCTAATTCTAATTGAGAAAATCCACTTCGAAGTAATTTTAGAAAAATATCTTCTTTTACGCATTCTAATTTTGGTGACTGAAAATTAAAAAGAAATTTTATCATAGAGATTCGCTCAAATGTACAAGATTCCCTTGTATGTACAATAAAAATCGTTAAAATCAGGCATAGTACACCGAGAAAAATTCTAATTGTTAATCCCCCACCTCAAAAAATTTTTAAAAATAAAGAGAAATAAAAAATATTTCCAATCTTCTAACAAAAATTAATAAAACATTCACCTCAAAATCCATAATTATATGCCCATCCATTTCTACTAATAAATTTGGAGCAGCAAATTTAGCGAAACAAGGAGCCGTCCGTTCAAAAGAAAATGAAGGCGATATTAAACGTATCCTTAAAATTAAACAATATATTTATAATAACGATAGAAATATAAATTTTTAAGATTCTCATATGACAAGCTGAAAAAACTAAAGGAAGTAACAGTTAAAATCTTCAAAACAAATAATAACAAGTGGATGTGTCCATCTTTCTACTTTGAATTGGAAAATAGACAAAAATGTAACCTAAAAGCTCAACCTTTCTTTATGTTCAGTCTCAAAATTAATATAAATAATAAATAGATAGCCTACAAGTGATTTTGTGGTAGACGAAAGGCCAATTCAAATGAATGTTCAGTTTGGACATCGAAAAGTAAATTTGAAGAGGTAGAAGGTTCTGCATTGTAAGCGGAAGAAAGCGATTTAAATAAATTAGAAAATTTTGAAAGTTTGGAATAAAAGGCTCTAAAATATTAAAATTTCATTAATTAAAAATTAAAAAAATAACTTGATTAAATCATTTAATTTTAAGTGTAGAACAGGAGACCAAGTAAAATCGACAGAACTTCCAAACTTTATAAGAAGAATAAAATCACCTTTAGAACGGTTGAAGGTTATATCAAGTAATTCAAAATTTCCCTTCTGAAAGATTTTTAAATTTTTATTTTTATAGAATAAAAATTATTTCAAGTAAAATAAACTTTTAGTAAAACCTACGTATTCAATTGACTCATTAAAATCAAAATTTCGTATACAACCATCCATCTCAATTTTTCCATTTTTCAATTCACCAACTCGAAAACTTTTCACAAAAACATGCAAATTTAATTTTGGCCATTTCCATGAACGCCAGACAAAAATTTTATCAATTCGTAAATTTTCCAATTCAAGGCAAAGCCCGTTATGGAAGAGAAATTTAATTTGGCCAAAACAAAACCATCCAATTCCATTTATTTTTGCGAAGTAACAATTTAAAAATCGACGAAGAAACCATGCCAATAAAGTGCTGGGATATCTAAAAAATATAAAATAAAAATAATATTTAATCAAAAGTAACCTAAACAATTGTATAGCAATAACAATTAGAATAACCAAAAGTGTTAAATAAAATCCCATTAATGTGCTTACAAATTTAAAAGCTTTTACACTAGAAAAGTAATTCTGGATTAATATTTTTTGAATACATATAATTTTTTTAATTTTTAAATCATTAAAATTTTTAAAAAATATTCTTAAAATATTTTCTGCATAATTAACATTAAAATAAACAAGACTTTAATTTTCTTAAAAATATTTACTACTAGTTTAAATAAAAAAATAATTTACAAAAATATTTTAAAAGGCACATATAAAAGCGAAACTACCCGAAGGTAAGGAATGTAAAAATGATTTATGTTTATGTAGAGATTGAAGTTTTGAGATAAGAATTGAGTTTTAATAAGAAAAATTTCAAATATTTTTAGAAGACTTGGGGAATGCGAATTTTAGTCAAAAAAACAGACAATGTGAAATTTAGAACAATTAATAAAAATAAATTCAAGAATCAGAATCAGGAAATAAAGCAATAAATATCGAAATTAAAGCAAAACCTAAAACGAGAGATGACATTTTTTGCGGAATATTAGAATCATTATTCAATTCATGCGGAAGAATTTCAAATGCTGTTACATAAAGAAAGGTACCACAAGCAGTTGCCTAAATAATAAAAAATTAAAAAAAAATTCTTTGAAAAACCTGTAAAATTCCTGATATAAGGAAAATTAAAGGGCTTCCACTTAAAATTTTTAAGACAGCCAATCCAGTAAAGCCACCAATACAGACTTGTAGGGAAAAAACTGCGCAACATAGAACAACGGTTGGAGGATGAAGACGGGATTGAACCAAACGTAGGCCTAGACTGAATCCAACAATTGTTTTGTGGATGAGTAAAGCAAAGAAAACCTTAAAAAATATTATTTTCAAAGTATTTGGTGATGTGACTTTTGTAGCCCTTATATTTTAGACATAATTTTTCGGCTACCAAACTGCGGTTTAAATATTTGAAATTCCCCACTCATTTCTTTACGAGCCGTGGAAATCCGCTAATAGATTACTTACTTAAATATAATCAATTAGTCCTTTAATCCTTTAAATATTTCATGCAAAATATAAGGATAAAAACCTGCAACAACAAATTAACATCAGTCATCATTCCAACAGAAAGCCCTTCAAAAACAGCATGTAATGATAAAGCAAAGACCATTAAAAGTATTCTAAATATAGAATAATCTTCATTTGATTCTAATTCATTATCATCATTTTCTAGAAGATGAGTATTTTCCAAATTTTCACTTGAATTAGTTCTTCTATTTAAAGTTAAAATACCATGACCATCCTCACGTCGGGAAAGACGCTCCATAAATGAATTGCTTAGCCAATTGCGTTTATTAGCATAAATAATTGTCTACAAATTGTCAAAATTATATAAAATATTAAATGAGAATGAAAATAATTATTTCTTTACTTTTTAAAAACAAGACAACCTACGCTAACCCTAACTAGAAAAATTTAGGAATTAAGGAATCAAAAAATTTCATCTTGGCACCAAATTTAAGGTGCGTCCCCCGAAATTCAAACTCTGGATATGTCCATGAATGTCAGCGGATGTAAAAATCATGACAAATTGTTTATACGTAAAAGTACCCGAACCTGCTCTAAAATTAAAACAATCAGAAAACCAAGCGAAACACAAAACGCAGGCAAAGGAAATTTAATTTGATACCCAAGCCTTTTCTCAGCACTTTTGATTCCGTTAATTGAGTCAGGCAATAAATCAAGTAAACAAGTTGCTAAGAAAACACCGCCACCAAAACAGGAGATTAAAGAAATTATTTTTCGTCCAAAATGTGAGGAATGATTGCTTTCAGCTCCTCCAATAATATATTTTTTGATCAAAAGAAATGACTAAAAAATTCTTAAAAATATATTAAATATTGAAAATAACCGTTGATGCCAAAAACGTTCCAAAAAATAATAAAATTAGCAGGACGGCTTTAAAAGCATTAATTGTAGTTATAGATGAATCTGAAGTTAGCATAATAGGAGAAAAAAATAGATACATCTAAAATAGGAATAAAAAATTACGAGAAATTTAAAACGTTTTCGATTGTTATTCAACAATAAAATCGCAAATAGTGACTGTATTGTAAACAAATTATTTAAACCTGACTCTCTTAAAACAATTTATTTAAATCGAAATATGTATCAATTTTGAATCAACTAATCAATATATCAATTTTGACTAAAATCTTTGAAGGGCAAATTTATAGGTGCTCTGTATTCTCTAATTGGTGAAGAGGTTTTCGGCTGTTTGCGAATAGCAGGGTCAACTCGCCATCCTTAAAATAAAGAAATATTTTTTATATTTAGAGGATTAGAGGGGAGGGGGGTACTAAAAGAAATTTCATGGCTAGAAACAAGAATGAAAAATTATTTCTGAGAAAAATAAACGACAAATTTTTACCCTCTGGAAGAAATCCATAATTAGACATTTGTGTGTTGCTACTATATCCGCTTGTTGCCAACGAACTTGTTGGAGGTGTACCGCTTACTCCATAACGAGCAGAAGAAAGGACAACAAGTTGAGGAGGCTGTTGTTGTTGGGGTGTTGGTGGAAGATAAATTCCAGAGGAATTATTCGAAGCGGATGAATGAACTGAGGCGCTAGCTGAAGCTAATGGGGAAGGTTGATGATAACCACCAAAAGAAGGCGTTGATCGACTACAAATAACTTGTTTGAAATTTATATTGTGCATCAGTTTTGGTTAGAATTTTAAAAAAGTTTCGTTCTTAAATCAACTGACAATAAATTAAACATTTTAAAACCTTGAAATAACAGCATTCTGAGGCAAAATTGGATTTGAAAACCCAGTACTTCTACTTTCTTCAATTACTACCTAAAAACAAAAATAAAACGATTTATAATGATAAAAAACCTCAAAGGCTTTTTTCAAAAACGAAGGGTCTTTTTGAGCCATTGTCATAAAAGCAAGCACAAATTGAGGCAAGGAAACGTCTTTTAAAACGCTAAAAATATTAAATTAATCTCATAAGTTCTCAAATTTAATCACTTTTCTAATTGGGTGTCCAAATCAACAGTTGGCAATTCTGATGGTTTTGCAATAGATTTACTTTTATTTAGGGCTGTTTTTAAATTATTCATATTTTCTAAAACTGTACGCTCCCAATTACGGAATTGATCAACATAAATGCCAAATTCTTTGTGGTCTGATAGAGCCGCATGCTCCTCTATAAAAAATTAATTAGATCTTAAAAGAACTATTCAAAAAGAAAATAGCTTCCATAATTAACAAATAAACTTAAAAAACCTCTCCATTTGTCAAAAGCTTCCTTCCTCGTTTTGTACTCATTTTCCAAAACTTGGATTGCTTTCTGAATTTCTTCAGCCATTAAAACTTTAAAATCTTTCTAAATAAAATAATTTAATTTAAAAAATTAATTTACAGATATTGTAAAAAATCAATAATCTATTTAATGTTTAATAAAAAGCTAGAAAATGACCAAATTTTTATCGTTAAAAGAAAAACCACGTAAAGAAAATATTTAAAATTTAAAAGTTGTAAAGTAATTTAATAAGAAAAGAGAGAGAAAAGAATTCCAAAAATAATCAAGGTAATATTGAAGAGTATGGGCCCCATTTTTTCCTCCCTATTTTTCCCCCTATATTTTTACAAAATGGTCAAACTTTTTCCTTCCTTCCATCTAATCTGCCTTTCTAATATTTGCCTTGAAACAAAGAAAAAAGATTATTTTTTGGTATTTAACAAGTATGAGTTTTGGGAAGACTCATTTTCTCTATTAAAACGGGAAATAAAATATCAAAAATAATTCCTTTTCTTTGTTTCAAGGCAAAAATTATAAAGGCAAATTGAATGGAAGAAAGGAAAAAGTCTGACCATTTTGTAAGAATATAGGGAGGAAAAATGGGGCCCATACTCTTCAATATTACCATAATCAAAAACAATTCCATTTTACATCTTTCGAAGAATTTCCGAGACAACAAAATATATAAATTTAGGCAGAACCTTCATGTGTCTTTTTAGGCAACAAAACAGCGTGAATGTTTGGAAGAACACCACCTTGAGCAATTGTCACACCAGAGAGTAACTGAAAAATGTTTTTAAAACTCGTTAAAAATTTTTTTAATCTAAACAGAAAAAACTTATATTCACTTGACGTAAACTTAAATTGAGAAATAAAATTTCAGACCTTATTTAATTCCTCATCGTTACGCACAGCCAGCTGTAAATGTCTTGGATTGATACGAGTTTTTTTATTGTCTCGAGCAGCATTCCCAGCCAATTCAAGAACTTCAGCAGCTAGGTACTCAAGAACGGCAGCCAAATAGACAGGAGCCCCAGCACCGACACGTTCAGCATAATGACCTTTAATTGAACTGTAATAATTTAAAAGATTCAAACAAAAACCTTTGCGAAGTAAACGATGAAGACGGCCAACGGGAAATTGAAGTCCAGCACGTGATGAACGTGATTTTGCCTTTCCTCCAGATTTTGCTTTTCCACCTTTGCCTCGACCAGACATTTTTCAATAAGTTTTGAATATAATAGAAAAATTCCTGAATGAAAAAGTGTTCTTGAAATAGTTGGGGTATAAATCTATTTGTAGTATTACCCAGCCAAAAGCAAAGTAAATTCCCCTAAGTTATCGAAATTGTTTTAACAGTAATAAAAACGGACTGAATTAATCTGGGCTTCGTCCTAAGCGCGAATCAAAAATCTGCACGCGTAAAAATGATTTTATTAAGCAGGAAAAGGACCATTGATGGTGACGAAAAAGTCCCTGGCGGTTGAGTTCGGGGTACTTATGAAGATGGAGGTGCCCTTTCTGCGGACTTTTTTTGCGGACTTTTCTTCCCTTATTTAAATGTTTTACTTGTAGCAACTAACTGTCAATGGCCCTCCCCCTATTATTTTTCTTACCTAAGATTGTACATAAAGGTCAGATTTTCTGCTTTCTCTCCTTCCTCTATTTGCCCTGTGGCATATTCAAACAAGAGACGTTTATAATATTCAATTTACGTTTATAATATTCAAATTAATCGTAAACACATATTTTTCAAATTGGCATAAAAAATAATCCTTTGACAGTTAATTGCTACTAGCAAAACTTGCTGAAAGCAAAACAACCAAAACATTTAAATAAGGGAAGAAAAGTCCGCAAAAAAAGTCCGCAGAAAGGGCACCTCCATCTTCATAAGTACCGAGTTCGGAAAAGGACGATCAGGCGATTCAGTATATGGCCATAACTTTCCTGAAATTCGACCGATTCGAATAATTCTCATACCATTTGAAAGGTCTCGAGATTCGACATCTTTTTCATAATTGGCACGATCTGATGATCATAAAAAAAGTTACAACGTGAAAACCGATTTTTTATGCTTGTGACGTCGTTTATCAGTGATAGCTTTTTGTAAATTGAAAAGATCAGGTCAGTCCAATTATGAAAAAGATGCAGCACACCAAGAGGCCTATCAAATCATGTATAATAATTTCTACAATATTGATCGAGCAAAAAGTTATGGCCAAAAAGCCCAAATACTGAATCGGCCAATACTGAATCGTCCCCCACCCGATTGAGTCCCCGCCAAAAGGTGCTATTGAGTCCTCGCATTTTCTTTAAATTTTTTTTTGGTTTTTTTGGGACACGCCCAAGTAGGCGCGCGGCCAAGTAGGCGCAAAGCCATAACTACCTGAAAAATTTATGGTCCTTAACAATTTTGGTACTGTTCTCTTTAGTTCGATGAGAGGAATCGTTTAATACCAAATTGGTAAGATTCGGAAATTTTGAAGCAAGTTATGACTTTGCGCCTACTTGGCCGTGCGCCTACTTGGGCCGTACCCGTGTTTTTTTAGTTTTTGTTCCTTGTTTTTGTTCATTTTGTTTGATTTTCCTTTTTTTATTTTTTTCTTATTATTTGTCAAGGAAAAAGCTAATTTTTCTGTCAATTAAACAGAAAATCTTTGAACTTTAAGTTTAGATAATTGACTTTAAAATTAAAATGCTTTCTCTACCATCTGAAGTTCAACTTGATGTATTAAAATCTCTTAATTTCACTCAATTATTCTCTTTAAAACAAGCCAATTTTTATTTTTGCAATTTAATTAATAAATATGAAGGAGAACTGGCACGAATGGAATTTTTTAAAATTGATATAGTAAATATTTGTTAAATACTTAATTTTTTTAAATTTAATTTTAGGCTGATATGGACTATCCTCAAGTTGGACCTGAATATATATCCATCGATCCTCAAGCGGGAATTTTTGAATTTACTTTAAATGATCAACTTAAGGAGAAGGTTAATTTAATTTTTAATTTAATTACTTTTATTTTTTAGTGGCAAGAAGCGATAGACAATTCAATTCCGTTGTTTCTTCAGGAAGAGGACAGCAAATTTGCTTTAATAGGTATAACAGGTTTAAAATATATAAACTAGTGACGTATTTTTAGATAATTTTAGATTAGTTATTAATTTTCTAGACCACATATTTCGATTTTAATTGACTCAACCAATTTTGTATTTTTCTATTCAGTTGCCAAAAATTCCGTTTTTTATGTATTGAATTTGGAAAACTTTCCTAAAAGTATTGAAGAGATGATTATTGTTCGTTGCTGGTTAAAACACCTATTTAAGTGCGCTTTTGAGTATTGTAATTTTCGAGATGTAGTATTTAATCCAGAAATGATCAACATATTATTTGATAATTACAACACAATTCCAACCCAATTTAATATTCAACTCGCACGTTTTGTTCCTAGCAATAATTTCTGTAAAAATTTGCTGGATTTCGTTTTAACTCATTTATCAATTTGTGAACTCTTCATTTATTTTACAGAGGTTGACATTATAGAACAATATACAGATATTTTATTCAATATTTTAACAAATAGAGGCAATAGATTCCCACACGTTTTTTTTCAATTTTTATATGGACTTCCAGCACTTTATGATCTTATTGTTGAAGTAAGTTTTTAATTAAATTTGAATTTATAAATTGTTTTAATAAATTTTAGCATATAACAACAAAAGACTGTTCAAAAATAGTGCCTTATATTCGTTTAAAAATTTTTTTTGATGCAAATTTTAAATTAAGTGAAAGAGCAGAAAAGGTTAAAATTAAGCAATTAAATGGTGTCAAATATACAAATTATCAAATTTCCAATATTAATTATTCAAAATCGAGATTTTATATTTATTCAAGAGAACCTGAAGGAGAATCTAGTTTTTATTATTTAAAAATAATGAAAGAGTAAAATTTCTAATGGTTTACTGAACATTGGTATTTTGAAAATATTGTTTTCGTTGACTTTTTATGTTTAAATCATTTTTTGTTTTGTAGTTAAATTTTAAAAAAAATTTGTTTTAAAAAATTTATTTAAATAATTTTCTAAACTGAATCCCAATTTATTTTTAATATTTTTTACTGCTTACACTTAACTAAAGGTGAAAACCCCTTGAAAAATTAACAAACTAGGAGAATCTTGCTTTAATGGAGAAATAGACGTGAAAATAATTCTCATTGATAATTAAGTTAAAAATGATATTGCCTTTATAGGGATGTCTTGAGGTATAAAAAGGAGGGGGAATGTCATTAGGTAGAATATTTACATGTATAATTTAGAAAAAAATTAAAATATTTTAATTAAAAATTTTATTCAAAAAAAGGTTTTCTACAAACAATTAAATTTTCATCATCTAAACTTCTCGTTACAGTATTCTGTGATAATTCCGCCTGAACAAAAAAGTTATTTCGAACATATGCTGTAAATGAATTCATTGATGGAGTTCGAAATGTTCTAGTTCCTTTTAAACCAATTTGGTGTAAAGTACCCAATGCTTGTATCATCTAAAAAAAGAGGAGGGGGTCTTGTAGAATTAGAGAGACTTTTATTTTACCCTTTCTCTTTCTGTACTTAATGATGATGAAGTAGATAATTTTTTATTATTATTTAATTGTTCGATAATATTTAAATTATTTTTTGTTGAATTTATTTGTTTATTAATTTCTTTAGAATTTCCATTTAATGTTGCTAATTTAGTAAGTATATCTAATTCATCCAAAACTTCTCGAAGTCTTTCAGGCGAAGCATTAAATTGATTAGATACTAAAGTAACTAATTCTTTAATCGAAATATATCTTCCACTAAACCAAATACAAACATCTTGACTTCCACTAAAATTTCTTCCCAAATAATGAATTCGGCGAAGATTTTCACCTAATGCACTTTTAAAAAATTTAATTAATTTAAATTTTTGTTTTTAAATTTACCCAAACATTGTAGACATTATTGATATTCCAGAACTGAGATAAATAATTATAGAAATTGTTTCGAGTAAATTTTTAGGTTTTGGACAAATATCGCCAAAGCCAATTGTTGTTATACTTATGAAACTAAAATTGAAATATACAAAAAAATATAAATATATATGTATCTTCCACTAATTTTTAACTCATCTGTATCCATTAAATATTAAAAAAAATATTTTAATTTAATTTTTACCCGGATATTTCAGACTTGGTAATGAACATGCATTTTGGTGTCCCAGATAGTTACGGCGGATATAGACAAATATCCGCAGGCATTTTTAACTCATCTGTATCCATATCCATTACCAAGCCTGGGATATTCTATCAATAAAAACTATTTATTTTTATTCTCACCTAAAATAAATAGCTCTAAATAACGGCATATTGTCAAAAACAAAATGAAATAACAATCCACCAATTAAAGAATGCAAAACAATTAAAATAGTAATTATAATAATCGGTAATTGTTGTTCTATTTCCGCTAACTATTTTTTTAAATTAATTTATTTTTAAAAAAATTTTTATTTTTAAAAACTTGCTCAAAAATCTCATCTTCTTTCTCTCCTTCATTTTCCTCTTCCTCCTCTTCTTTCTCTCTTTTTTTCCAATTTTTAAAAGAAATTAAACAAATCCAATATATTTCAGTTATTAATTGCCCAACTTGTGTTAATGTTATAAATGCTAAAGGAATTCCAAAAACACAATAAAAAACACAAAATAATCTTCCTAAAGGACTTTTTGGGGCAATATTTCCATAACCAATTGTTGTTATTGTTGTAAAAGAAAAAAGAAAAACTTCATAAAAAGGCTTTTCTCCAATAATTGAATCTATTTGAATAAAAATAAAAGATCCAAATAAAATATGTAAAAACATAAGCAAAAATACACCAAAATGTGAAAAAGAAGCCATTAAAAGCTTTAAAAAAATATTTTTTTATAAAAGTAAAAATTCCCAACTTCTTTTTTGAGATCGTCTTCTGAACATTGATAATCCAACATAAATTTAGCTTTCCACAAAGAATATGGAGATGATCTAGTCCATTGTTTATTTCTTTTAAATCTTCTTTCAGGGAATTGTTTGCAATTAGGCAATTGACCATTTTCTCTAGACTATTAAAAATAATTAGTGGGAGGAAATTAATAGGAGATTTTAAAGATTTATATTTGAGACTTTTAGATTCAAGACCTATATTTTTTCAAATTTTTCAGTCACAATCGACCATTTTTCTAAAAATCTCATCGTAGATGGGTTAAGCATCCCTTGAATAATCGCTGCGGTTACAGTAAAGTATCCACAATCTACCCCCAACCCTTTCCTTTAACACCCTTTTATCTTGACAGAAATCCCCTAAATCTCTTCCATACAAAATAGTTTTGTGTTAACATTCCCAAATCCTTAATTAATTTAATTTCCTTTCTTACATTATTTAATTCGTCTTTTTGACTTTCATCATCAACAAAATATAAATGTTGCCTCGCTTTTTCAGAAGAGATCAATTTTACCGCTGCTCCATGGTTAATTTTCTCATTATTATTATTATCAATTAAAGAAAATAATTCGTTGGAATTGACAGCTGCAATTGTGGGGGTAACCATTTTTATGATATTCCCCCCATTAAATAAATGATTAATTGTTGACTTTGGTTATAATTAAAACATTCATTCTCTCTCTCTTTCATTCACCCCTCTAAATGAGCGCAATCTTTCCCTCCTTTTTTTAAACAAATTCTTCAAAGAAACAATTAAAAAATACAACCAACAAGAAAAGGAATCAGCTACTCTTCGGTAAAAAAAGGAAAGGGGGGAAATCAAGACAAAAGACGAAAAAGTTAAGGTGAATGAACACACGATAAAATCAATTTAATTTGGGCAAGTCTTTCTTAAATTTTTAAACCAATTTCCCTCCAAAATATAAATTAGGTGCGCAATTTGTTTTAAGCACAACACACTTTTTCAACAAGAATTAATTTTTTTAATTCAATTTTTACAACATTTTGAGAAATTTAATGATATCAAAAACAGCCTTTTAATTTTATATATTCAGGTTAATTTTATCTTAATTTTCGAGCAAAAGTGATGTAATTCAAAATTACTGATTCGAATGACATAAAAGTGGCTCTCTAAATATTACTTAAAATATATGGGATTAATTTAAAATTTGTAGGGTGAAATTTTCAAAAATTTAATTTTAAATTATTTCAATAGATCCCATCAAGACGAGCGAATAAAACCAAAATTCAAAAGTTTGAATGGTTTTTGAAGTTGTCACTAAATAACTAATTTATCCCCCTCCCCCCCCTGCCACCATAATTTTAATTTTCTACATAAAATTAAAATAAAATTTTCAATAAATTTTTATACCAATAAATAATAATCCAAAAAAATTCGCAGTAATAAACGAGTGTTTTGAATTTAATTTTAAGTTAATCACTTCCAAAACAATAAAATATCCCAGAATAAATGAAAGCAGAAGAATATGTGTACTTTGAAACAATTCTCTAACAATTCTCTCCCAAAACAAAAAAGAATAATTTAAAATGAGCATAATTTTGTAGATAAAAAATTAATTTCTTTTCTAAATCTTTTCAAATTAAAATTCAAAATAATTCCAGAAAATTGTCATTCAAAAAAAAGAAATTAATTAATTATCTACTCCTTAAATAACTTTACAATCCAAAAAATAATAATTTACGTAAAAGCTCGAGAATGTCTTGTTTTATAGCAAAATCAACCAATCAATAACTCTTTTACTCATTTTCCTCCTCAGCAACCTTCTGTTCAAATTTAGCAATAAGTTCAGCAATTTCACGTTTCATAGTAATTGCAATCTTCTTTGGCATTTTGTCAAGAACACTAGCAATATAACGACCTGAAAATAATAATTTAAATTTTTGTAAATTAAAATATATTTAGATTTTGAAAATAAAAGAATAAAAATGAGCAAAAAATAAAAAGAATGCTCGACTTAAAATGTAAAAAAAGTATTTTAAAGCTAATAAATCAAGCACTATCAAAATTTAAAAAATTGTAAAAAATTCCAAAACTACCATAATATCCATTTCCACTTTCTGCTCCACTATGAAAAGCAGGCTCAACAAATGGCATAGGATAATAGCAGAATTGCGAAGAATTAAAAAGAGGCTTTTGCTGTTTAAACATTGTTGAAGATAAATTATCAATTTTAGTTTCATTAGAAGTATTCGCAATAGTAAAATGAGACGGCTGGTTATTCGGAAGTGGAGACTCCATTTGAACACGCATCTCTTCTGTACAATCACCATTTGAAGGACCAACGTTGAGATTCGATGATTTCTTAAAAGTAATCTTTAAATAAAGTCTTTATATAAGATAAAGGCCATATGAAATAGCGGTATTGAGGTGTGAGGATTGTTTTAAAAAAGCTTAAAACTAATTCAAGTCACAACTGGAAACTGATTTTTACAATATACAAAGCAGCGCCTAAGATTTTTTTAAATACCCGAAGCGGAGCTCAACATTTCAATTCGACTCAACTCTGTCTACATACTCCTTAAAGAAATTTATGTGAAAAAATGGTAAGTATTTTCCTTTGTTTATTCGAAAAATGGATGGTTAGCTTTAAATCCCTTAATATTTTCAAAATTTTCGATGCTTATTGTAAGGAATTTAACTTCTCCGTCAATAAACATTATTTATTAATACCGGGAATAAAATTATCAGGCTCCGAAATACTTGTATTTATGATTCTAAAATATTTAAAACCTGAATTTCCTCCTCATTTTCCGCCATAACTTCAGCATTAGCAACCGCATTTGCCGCACCATTCAAATTTTTGAACTTATTCTTAATCATGTTACCCTCCTCTTTATTGTCTTTACCAATAACCTTTTCCAATTCAGAAGCCTCATCAATCTTTCCGTCCTTCATATCATCACCTTTTACACCATTCTAATAATACATAAAATTATTGAAAGAAATTTTTGAAAAATAAAAACCTGAACTTCCTCAACTGTATTCGCCACTAATCCAATATTTTCAACAATGTCCCGTACAAGAGGAATCGATGGAATACTTGACACATTTCCATTGATTGTCTTCTTTTCATGATCCTCCTTCCTTACAACAGCCTCCACATCCTTAACATGCTCTTTAGCTCTAGTATTTTGCACATGAAAATGCTAAAATTTAAATTGTAGTAAATTAAATTATTAAAAAAATACCGCTTTAGCAAATGCCTCAGCCTGATCTTCAAGCCCTTGTCGATGTTGACTGTGAGAAGTTCCACCATTAGTTGCTTCAGTAGAGGAAATAGCATTAGAATCCAGACGTTTAACACGAACATGCAATTTACAAGTGGTTACTGGAACTTTCCCCTTATCAAAGCTTTGCCAAAATTCATCAGCTGTTTTTGGAGATTTGTTGTCAACGAAAGCAGACTAAAAATCAAAAACTAAAAATAGAAATTTAAGAACCTGAATCATAAAGCGATGATTATTCTCTTCAATAACATCCAACGATTTAGCAGAATCATCATGAGGTTGAATGATAACCTTGACTTGGCCGTGAGGCTTAATAGTTCCAGAGGAAGGCCTGACACTGTAGAATTTACTAGCAGTTGACTTAACCTAAAAAATTATATTTTGAGATTATAATTTTTAGAATTAGAGTAACCTTAAAGTAAATCTCCTCAAGATTCTTATTTCTAATTATCAGCTGAACACCAGTAACATGACCAAGTTTGTCTAAAATAAAAAATATCAAATTCGTTGAAATGACTAGTGTGGATATAAGATATTGGGGCGTGTGGCACACCGTAGCTATTCGAGGAAACAAATATTTTTATATTTATTTATATACATAAAATTCAACGGGAAGGGAACCACATCTAAAATTTTTTAAGGACATTCCTCGAAATTCTAATTGATTTATTTTTTAATTTATCACAACTATCAAAATCTACCTCTAAATACAAGCTCCTCCTCCGGCTCAAAAACAATCACCGGAAAACCATGCGTCATTTTCAACGTTGAAATGAAAAGCAAAATATGAAGATATTATGATGCTAAAATAAAATATTAAAAAATATAAGATAAATAAATGCAAAGAGCTTATTATTGATCTCTTGCTTGTTGATCATTCACAGTTATTTGCATTAAACAAAAAACTTCAATAATTTAAAAATAAATATCCGATCGAACAAACGGAAATCAAATTAAAATTCAGATCCTTTACAAATCTTTACGCGTAAAATTAGAAACAGGTGCAGGGAGACAGGTTAAAATATTTTCCAAAAAAGATAATTAAAATAGAAACGGGGTAGGAAATGTGAGTGAATTTTAGAGTCTCATCCTTTTACTATTTGCTATAATCAGCGTCGACGCTTAGGTGGAGGGCCAGACTTGACTCCCTTTCTCTTAGTTTGATGATGACGCTTGTCATGCTCATCCTCTTCGCGTGCTTTCACTCGATCGGCTATAAAAGAAAAAATCATTTTATGAATCATTCTATGAAAATAAACCTTTAGCAGCCTCCTCTTCGAGATCACTCCAATCCTTTCCTTCCTCCTCTTCACTATCAAGTGAAGCTTCGCTTTCTAGAAGAATAAAAAAAATCAATCAAATATTTCATAAATATCTTACCCGATTCTTCTTCTGAAACACCTTCCTCTTCCTCCTCGTCCTCATCACTACTAGCAGAAGTTTCGTCTTCAGATGCATGGAAAGAAGATTCATCAGATTCAACATCATTTTCTTCTCCTTCATCCGATTCTGCGGATAAGAAATTCCAACCACCATCCTCAAAAAATGCCTCAGGATCATCATTAACAGTGCGCATAATATTTGCCCAATTCAACGACATAGGACCTTCACTGTAGCGAATGTCACAAGAGCTTAAGAATAGGCGTTATTTAAATTTAAAAATCACTCTCATTTAACTTACTTAAGCCAATCCTTAATACCATCAAGAGAAGATGAAGGTATTTGTCCAATACTATGTGGTTTTCTCGAATAGTCTTTGAAAACAATTACAGCATCAAATGTACTTGTATTTCCAGTCACACGTTCAAAATGTACTAATTCAACTTCGTCAAGGGTGACAACAAACGGTGGCTAAATAAGGAATATTAAAAAACAACAAAAATAAAAACAAACCCATTCAGTAAGATGTACCAAACAGGAGGAAGTTGGTTGCAACTTAACAGAAGATCGATGTGGCGCCCCAATAAAAGCAAGTTCACTAAATGGAGTATCAAAATCAACATGTTCATTTGTCATACGGAAAACTTTGTCGCAAAAACTTTGAAAAGCAAGATTGAGTTTTTTCCGCATTTCACGTTCCATCTAATAATAATTAAACTTAAAAAAACTCAAAACAAAAATGATAACCTGTTCACTTTGCATATCATCACGATCCTGCATATGGTGATATTTACCCAAGTCTGTGGTTATCTCTCCAACTTCGGTGTAGAACTGCACATCGAGGTATTTCTTTTTCCCCCATAGAACAGGATTCTAAACTTTTAAATAAAAAATTCCTAAGATTTAAAAAAACCTTCAAATGAAAATGCAAAAGAATTATCATTTCATTATCGCAAGGTTGAAAGAAGGCATGTTTAATATTGTTATACAGAACATCAATTTTGTCTCCTCTTAATGAAGTATAGCGAAAGCCATTAACGTGTGCCTCCAATGACCCACTGATTCGTTTTGCGATGATATTTGGACGAACATAAAGATCTTTCAATTTTGGATTTCCTTTCCCATTTTGCGATATAATTAATTTGTCTTGTTTTACAGCCCCTTCTTTTTCGCGCTCTTCAGCCTCCAAAGTGCGAAAACGTTTCTGCAATTCTTTAATCATGCGTGCAGCGTTTTGAAGATTCAAGCTAGGAGCATTAACCTCACCCGGTTCACGGACATTGCTACTCTTGAATGATCTAAAAAATTAGAAAGAAATTAACTTTAAAATTAATTAAAATCCATACAATTCTTTCAAGTATTTAGCAAGAGCAAACTGTGGATTTTCTTTTCCGATTTGAGAACCAGGATGTGTAAAGTTGATACGCAAGTATGAGAAGTCACCCTCATTTGCTAAACTGGCATTCTTGACCATTGATATGTGAAAAGGGACAGGAATACCAAAGATTGGTACAATTATAGTGTCGTGCTTTTTATCTGCCAAATTTTAATAAAATAAGTATCACTTATTAAATCAAAATTATTCGAGTAATTAAAAAGCAAAAATTACCAACCAACATAAATCATAAGTTTCTCAACTTCATGCTCATCAGGAAACTTTTCTTCAGATTTGTAAGAAGTATTTGATTTCTTTGCTCTTAAAATTTAAAAAAATAAAATGTGTAATTAATTTAAAAAATACTTTTTAGCTTCAGCAGTACCAGACTTGTTAGACAATAAACGTTCTTTAGCTTCCTTATTCATTTGTTCAGCCAATTCTTTTTGACGTTCTTTACGTTTCTCTTCATTCGTTTGTTTATGCTTTAAGAAAATAATTTTATTTAAATTTTAAAATTTAAAAATTAACTCTAGTTTGATCTTGTAAAACAACAGAACGTTTAGTGCGAGTAGACAAAGTTTCTTCCACTTCCTTTGAAGATTTTGCATTTTCTTCACGAAATCTGATTGAATTTGAACGCAAACGATTTTTGGCTGCAATAGTCAAAATATCATTTGGGCCATCCTAAAAATAAATTAAAATAATAAAAAAATTATTCCATTTTAAACCTCGCAAACAAGAATTGTATCGCTAATGAAAATTGAACAAGTCTTTTTGTCATCATCTTTAGCTTCCTTATTCGGGAAGTTCTGAAGTCCAACAGCAACTATAAACGTCATATTCTTTTCAACTAAATGATTACAACGTTCATTGATAAGCAATCCACTTTCACGAAATTCAATTCCAGTTACGAAACTGAAAAAAAGGAAAAGTATTTTTGGGAAAATAAAAAGAAAGCAAACCCAAAATTCTTAACAAGATATTGAAGATAATCAGGTTTTTGTTCCTTAAAATGGTTAATTCCAGCTTCATAAGCCTCAGAGATAGGTCGACCAGGTTTTAATGCATCAATTATAGCTGCTTCTGTTGTTAAAAGAAGTTCATATAATTGCTCCATTAATTCTGTTGGCATAACCATTAAAGTACGGGCAACATTAGTACAATAAGACTGAAAACAATTTTAACAAATCACTTGCAGAAATACTTACGCTATATCGAGCACCAAGTGTACTTGCAATTGAACCAAAGTGAAGAAGCTTATCCGGGCTAAAATATTTAAATTTTTTAAAGTACTGAAAAATAAAAAGGAGTCTAATCTATAAAATACAATCCACATTCTTCAAAAAATTCTTCCTGACTAAATGCCTGTACCAATCAATTTTATTACCTCTGAGCACTGAATTTCAAAGCACAATTCTCTCCAGATTGAATTATTGGACAATAGCAAACTTCCAAAATATTCTTTTTAGCCAATTCTCCCTGTACTTGTACATTAACCATTGATTTCTCCAAATCTTCAGCCAAACGGCTTTGCTTGATGCGCTAAAAATTATTGGAATTAAAAAAAAGTATAATTAAAATAAACCTTTTCTGTATCAACAATGTCAACAATTTTACGCCTTAAATAATTCCAAGCATTGACTGTTGCATGGGCAGAATGCTTAAGTAATTCAATTTCCTTGTCATCTTTAACTGCGAAAATTTTTGCAAATGGAAGAGAAATGTCTTCAACTGACTGTAAATTGAAAGTTTAACTAATTAGATTTTATTACAAATTCTTATGAATAATTTGTAGTATTTAACAATAAAGAATATTAACTGTTCAAAATATTTTCTCTTTTCGAATAATTGATAAAAATTAAAAAAACTTACCAAATTCTTAGCTTTCAAGCCAGCATCCCAAGCCTTAGCAAATGCAGAATCAGGTTTGTCTTTTGTGAAACAACCAATATGACGGCCAGCATCAAGCAATTTTCCAAGCAACTTCTCAAAATTGTCCTTATCCTTGTCCGTCTTATTTCTAACTAATGTAGAGAAAGGTGGAACAAAAGGATTTAAATTCTCTTTAGATTCCAGTGGAGAGAAGAATTGGGCCTTCTTGTCACTTCCAAGAAAATAAATTCCATTTTTGGTCAATATCAAAAGAGTATCTGGAAGTGCACAATTGAAAAGCCAGGTCTATAAATGGGGAAAAAGTTTATAGATAACAAAAATAGGAAGGGGATAACGGCAGTGGGTAAGCAATGGGTAACAACAGACAAAAAAAGAATAGACACGAGGAACTCTGCCTCTGCAAGACGTATTGTCTGGTTTCTACTGATTTCTTATAGAAAAACAAATTCTAATGAGAGTACCCAAACACGGACAACAAAATAGAAATAGACCTGAATCGATTGAGATTTTGAATAGGGCAATTCATCTTGATTTGTTCCAACACAAAAAACAAGACTGTCCAAAGATTTGAGGTCGTCATCTTTCTCCTTGAACAAAAATAAATAAAAAATAAAAATATTATTAAGAATACCCAAGCAGAATAAATCCTTGTAGCCCGATCAATAAAATATTTTTTGTCAACAGTTAAACTCATTATAGAATATAAATGAATTTCTAAAAACGAAAAGAAAATTGAGAATGTATGTAAATAAATGTGAAATGGGAAAAAAACTTAATTATTAAATAATTTCTTTATATTGATTTTTGTTATCGATAAACAGCTAAAAAATATTTGTGCAACATTACTAATAAATTTGCAACTGAATAGCTTGGGTTTTTAAAACAGAAAAATAAGAAATGGGATAATTTGGCGCGGGCAAAGTAGTACAGGCCGATCTGACGCGAGGCCAATTTTGCTCGGTGGGTTTGGTGCAGAGTTAAAGTTACAGTACATTTTTTAGTTTTTTGGTTATTTGCAAAATAAGAAATAAATAAAATACTAGTTATGCTACGCTTACATAAAAAACGCAAGACGCCGGCGGAAGACGCTCGGCGACAAGACGCCGGCGGAAGA